ATAATTATATAGCTATACAGGATCCTAACCCAAATGATCTCTCACAATTGGGGAAACAAGAGCATTAGCTGTGTTCAATATAGGAAGTGTAAGCTGATGAGCACTGGACAGAAAATCCTAATTTCATATGTATGCTAAGGGATCCGAGCTGGTGGCAACAGATCTGAAAAGTAATCTTGAAATTGTGGTGGATTATGTAATGAGAATGTCAACTAAGTGTGCAAGGACTTTGAAAAAATGTTGGGCTTCATCAGGAAAGAAATTTTATAAAATCCTAATATAACAACAACCTTGTTCAAGTCTTTGAAAATGATCAAGGGGCTGCAGCATCTCCTCTATGATGAAAAGTTACAAGATTTGGAACTGTTGCACTTTTAAAAATGGTGAGAGGACATAGTATACATTTACACATGGTGTAGAGAAAGTAGATAGGAGAAGTTTTCCTCTAAAAATCAGGTCATGTAATGAAGCTGGATGGAGATTCAGGACAGACAAAGGGAAAAACTTTACTAACGCACAGTTAAACTGTAGAATTCACTACTACAAGATGTAGTGATGACTGCTCATTTGGACAGTTTTACATAGGGATTAGACATATTTTTTGAGCATAAGATCATTAGTGGCTACTAGTCATGGAGTATCAGTAGTAGTATACTGCTCAATACCAGTTACAGGGGAACATAAGCAGAACATGTTAGTACATTCACTAGTATTACTATTTATTAGATTCTATAGATGCTTCATCCTTTATGTGGGATTCCCAGAGGGAATTTCACAACTGTGGAACTGCAAGTTTGGACTAGACAAGTCTTCAGTCTGATTGACAAGGAATATTTATATTAGTCATTATTTTTATTATATAGATTTATGTTTTACTTTCCAGTAACAAAACTGATAAAAGCATAGCACATAATAAATGCAGAATAAAATATGCCTTGGTTGACTTTAACAATACTGGCTGGGTATTTCCCATTTCCCAAACTGGTGACTCATTCATCCTTCTCACCAGCAATCATAGACTTGTTCACTGGTTCTTATTCAGGCTAACTCAGGAAAAGCCTCCGTGAGGAAGCAGTCTTGAGAAGACTTCTAATAATCAAAAACCTGGTCCCAACCTGTTTAGGGCTTGGTATGCTACCCGACAAACCTTAAATGTGACCCAGGAGTTTACTGGCAGCCACTGTAGGGATTTGTTTGCTTCTCTGTTTTTTTGTTTCAGCAGTTGTTTAACACGCTGCCAAACTCATGCTGCCAAAGCCCCATTAGAAGCCTTGCAGCTGCAATTTTCACCAGTTTCCAGACCAGGCCTAAGGTTAGCCCCATGTGGGGTACATCACAATAATCCAGCCTTGAGATTACCATTGCCTGAACCACTGTGGCTAAGTGATCACAGTCCAGGACTGGCCACTGCCGATGTACAGTCCAAAGTTGGTAGAAGGCATCCTTAGCCACTGAGGCAACCTAGACCTCTACTGAAAAAGATGGATTTGGGAATGCCCCAAACTTTACAGCTGTTTCTTCAAGGGAATTGCAATCATATCCAGGATATGCAACTCACCTATTTCCCAAACTGGTGATTCATCTATACAGGGCTTTTTTTGTCATAGAACGCACCGGAACAGAGTTCCGGCACCTTTTTTGATGGATTTTTCCAGGTGATTGTGAATCGCCCTGTTGGGTGTAGCAGGTCGGCGGCAAAAATCATTAACATAGTGCCTGCAGGCTGCTTGTGTGTCAGCACTGATTGTGAGAGTGCTGCTCGGCTTGGGACGCTGCTCGGCTTGGGATCGGTCGTGTGTTCGCGCACTGAGTGCTTACTGCTGGTGGCGACCATTATGTTTATGTGTGTGTAGAGTGATTGGCTACGTGCAAAAGGTAAATAAGTTCTTTATTTCAAAAAAAGTTGGTGAACTGGAAATATTTTTCAGTGTAAAAGTGTGACCCCAAGATGTGTGTTCTGGCACCTTTTTTTTTTTTTTTTTTTTTACAAAAAAAGCACTGCATCTATATATCTCACCAGGATTCTTGTTTATTGACAATCATTCAGCCTGCCACTACATTCATGCATCAGTAGAGAGCCTGCACAGCCACACCTGGTTTAAATGTTACAGAGAAATAGAGCTTAGTGTCATTCATATACTGATGGCACCTTACTCCAAATCCCCAAATCATCACTCTCACTGACTTTATATAGGTGCTAAATCATAGTGAGGCCTAGCACATGTGCTAGAAAGCCAACACGTACATTTTAATTGCATAACTTACTGAAATAGTGTCTGATGCACCACTTGTAGCAAGGGCTTCTTGACAAAGCTAATGTTTATGACCTGTCCAGTAAATACCTTATAGTATAAGCCTATGTGTGTCTACTGAATTCTATAGTGTTTCGTCCCATGTAAGTAGCTATATAAGAAGTAGCCAGTTTTTCATCCTCAAATGGGTCTGTGTGTGTGTGGGGGGGGGGGAGAAGCAGCAGTTTCCTGTGGCTGCCACACTTGCTAAACAATCAGCTGCAGAGAATCAAAAGTGCTGAATTTGCTTTGAAAACACTGCAGTCCTACGTAGTCCAGAGGAAATTGTGATACCACAAAAACAGCTGTTTCCAAGTGTCCAAGCAACACTTCCTCATCACAGCTGAACACATATTCACAACTGGTTATTCCTCCAAAGTATTTTTTTCAGACCTAAAATGAGATAGGCATAACAGCCACACACCCCTCCTTTCACCCTTTCCTCACTGCTTTTTCCAATGAAGAATCTTCTAAGTCATCCCATATCGAGTACAGTTTGAAATGTTGTAGGTTTTATTACTCATAAACATATGGTTCCCTGAATGCACAAGTTAGCCCTGGACAATGCTTTACAAAATGGAATAGTGAAAGAATTTGCTTTCAGCAAAACAACACTGAAAATGTTCAAAAACTGTGGCATTATAAGGTAGGTACAACAGACATGTACCAGTTTTTGTACATTACCCTGGTATATTTAAACAGCAATGCCACACCCATTTCCTTGCAGTCATCAGCAGCTGCTAAGGTGAAATAGTAAAAGGGTTATTTCCTTTTTACTATTTCACCTTAGCACAAATTAAACTGTTTTATACTTCTAGGTTCATACTAGAGTTTGGAGAGGGAGAAAGCAAAACCTTTAAAATCTGTAGCGAATAAATCCTTTAGTTTGGTATGATTAAACTCAAAAATAGTCAGTCAATGGAGAGAGCACAGAGAAAGGGCAGGAGGAAAGCACTATCCATATATATAGGCATTATCAAAATACATTTTGATTTATCTGCAAGTGATTTTTCAAATATTAATTTAATTTCCTATGTTAACATATCCAGTCCAAAAATTTAATTTAAGGAAGTAAAATCTGCAGAACTACTACTACACCACTGAGCAAATATATTCAGGAGCAAACCACTTTCAATTCTGTCAAAGCTGAATATGAGATATTATAACTAACGAAGCACAAGTTACCTGGCATCATGATGAGGGTTAGAGGAAGTGGCAGCAGCCGACCCACCACGTAACACTGGCCTAGGGCAAGTTTTGTGGGCAGGACAGAAACAGGAAACAGGAAGAAGACAGAAATAAGAGATAGAACAAAAAAAGTCAAAGATTGTAAAGACATTTCTAGTCTACCATACTGAAACAGCATAAATATAAACCCTAGATATGTTTTCAAGATAAATACTAATGGCTAGTGTGTGAAGAGATCTTAATGATTTGCTTGTTGCTTTTGCCAGATACAGGGCTGATTCCTGTTCTGGTCAAATTTAGAGACAACCTGCTGGAAGCAATAGGACTTGAATGATTACTAACTTCAGTCTGATTCCAATGAACTACTCTTAAGTATGGAGGAGGTGGCTAGATGGAGTCACTGAACTCCGGGGGATGGTGGACAGGAAGGCCTGGAGGAATGTTGTCCATGGGGTCGTGATGGGTCAGACACGACTTCACAATTAACAACTCTTAAGTATATGATCTAGGACCAACCCACTGTTTTTGCTTTTGTGGAGAAATGTTGGAACTGCACTTGCACAAAGACTTATCCCCATAAATTACTATGCAAGTGCTATTTAATATCCAGATGCTTGGATTTGTTAGCCTCTTCCTGCATCACCCTTGATGTATTTCCCCTTCCATTCCTTGCATTTTAAAAACATGTTTTAATATTTTATCTATATCATGTAAGAACACTGAGTTCTACTGGCTATATGTTATAGCATGGTGTGCTAAACAGAAGAGAAAGCAATACGTTAAAATATGTGTACCTCACTTTCTCTTTAGGCATTATACGTGTTTTCATTTTGACACATATTTCTGTTGCTCTCTTTAAAATCCCTTCTGAAGACATAGTTCAATATTGTGTGAGTTTACATAATTTCTGCTCCCACAAGGATGCAATGCAATAGGGTTGATTGTAAGCCTCAGAAGGTGGAGGATTACAGGCATCTTATGGAGAATGGGAGAAGTATGGTGGTAAGAACTTGTCTCCCCACTCCTACCACCCTGCAATTCAGCTTTGTTGTAGATTTTACTTGTCAAGGTGCAGCACTTGGCCTCAGTCTCCTCCCCTCCCCACCTAGAATGTACTCTCATGACCTTACAGATGTAGGCAACACAGTTCTTTCTACACTAGCTGCAAGGGGGTGGGAAGTGGGATCCAAGTGCAGATCTCCAGACCAGTGCTTTTTTTGTCATAGAATGCACCGGAACAGAGTTCCGGCACAGTTTTTTGACAAATTTTCCAAGTTTTAAAAGTAACTTTTGAAAATTTGATGTTTGGTCCACATGGATTTGAATCGAGTGTAGCAGGTCGGCGGCAAAATCATTAAAACGATGCATGTGGGCTGCTTGTGTGTTGAGTTCGATGCATGCGTACTTCGTCTGCACTGGTTGTGATGGAGCTGCTTGGCTTGTGGTGCTGCTCGGCTTGTGATTGGTCGTGTGCTCGTGTGCTGAGTGCTTATTGCGGGTGGTGAATGTTATGTTTCATTACACAACTGACGTGTGTGGGTGTGTGTACAGTGATTGACTACATGCGAAAGGTAAATAATTTCATGAGTTCTGGCACCTTTTTTCTTACAAAAAAAGCACTGCCTCAGACTAATGATGGAGCTGTTTTTTGAACTTCAGAACTGGGATCAGACACATCCATTGACTCTCTAGAAGCTGTCTAGAGGCCTTTGAATACCTTTGCAAATAATCATATAAAGTCTTTTCAAACTCTGGTCCTTTATAAAGTCTTTTCAAACTTTAATTCATATGAAAACAATTTCCAGAGCTTCTACACTTTCAACAATCCAAGGTTTTTATACAAGCACATGTTAATTTATGGGCATCCTCCATGTTTTACTCCCAGACTCAGTTTAATTTTTAAAAGCTAAATCTAATTTTCTTGCCAAAATTCTATGAAACAGTGGCTAGGTTTAGACAACATGAAAAGCCATGGTGTATTTTTTTTTTTTTACCATTGTTGGTCTGTTGTGTTGTTTGTACCCAGTCATGATGTTTCAACATGGCAAGTTTAGTCTTTAGAAACCACAACAGGAAATGATGTCTTGATAAATGGTTTCTCTGAACCATCATGGCTTGTTATATTGTCTGAACTCAGGATCATGGTTTCCACAGTCCTGGTATGCAACTACCAAAGAATCCCCTGCAAAGAGCAGCAAATGCAGGAGCCATTCCAGCCATCCAGCCTCAATGAAGAGATCAATGAGGAAGAATCAGACAACATAAGCAGGAACTGATGACCCTACGGACTGAATTTCAGGTGCAGTGGCTGATGGGATACATTCCAACAGTGGGAGGACTAAGTAGGGAGGATGGAAACCATGACAACATAGAAAACATCTGTTTGTCTGTCGGGTAGATCATGGTAAAAAAAAAGTATGAACTATGGTAACTACATAGGGTTGCTTGTCTTGCTGTGTGAACCCAGCCAGTGTCTCCACTCATCTTAGGAAAAGCAATCAAGGCAAAATACACCAGTGTTGCTACAGGTGCCTTAACATAAACCACCCTCACTAAAGATTTCTGAACACACTTACATAAACTACTATGAAGTCTTCTGACAAGATGCAAAGCAAATAATTGCTATAATACACAAGTCTGATAGGTATCTATTATTACCCAAAGTACTGGTTCCTGAATGGTATGCATGTTATTTAACTTCAATATGAAAATGATATATTACATAATTCCACTGATCAGAAAAGAAGCATAAGACAACTTCACAGCTAATATGGGGACTCATTTTTAATTGGCACTAAACTGTAAACATAAAGCCACAAACATCTACAATCAATTTGAAATCAATATATGTTATAGGCAAAACCAAAGGGGTTTTTTTTGAGGGGGGAGCACAACTGAAGTTTGCCCTCTGACCTTTATAGCAGCACAGGTGTCTTGGGCTGGTCTCTAGCTGTTGGAGACCTGGTGTTTTACATTCCCAGACAAAAGTAAAATAAAAACCAACCCTATAGATAAGCCTAGAAAAATTACTTGCTTAAAATATTTTACTTGGAGTTGGCAAAAAATGATGAAAAACCAGGACTTAAATTTTTCCTTAGTGTTCTTGAACAGCTGCCAGAACTCCAGGGCTCTGGAACAATCTGCCACTGATCTTGCACTGGGTAGATCCCGTTAACTTTTTTCAGTTTACCAGTCTAAACAGCACTGAGTGGCTGAGTCTAACTACCATTTTAATTTCCCATGATGCTCCAACCTAATGTCACATTGGTGCACTGTAGAAAATTTAAATTATTACCTTCCCAGCCACTCAGTTCTGCTGCTGCCTGCCATGTTGCAAGGTACTGTTGACAGCAGACGACACATGAAGAGCACCTTACCGGTATCCCTTCAAACAAGCAGACAGCACTATAGATTTCTGTGTTGAATATGGGGATGGGGTTTTGCTTCTCTAACATTCTGTTTGGAACATAGGAAGAGACACCATTGGCTTGCCAGTATTGTCAACAATGACTGGCAGTGATTCTCCAGATTATTTCTGCATCTTGCTTGGAGAAGCCATGGAATAAAATAGGGACCTTCTGAATGCAAAGCATATGATCTACCACTAAGCTAACATATGATCTACCACTAACCAATCTCTCCATTTCTACCTTGGACATAGAGGAAGAATGGAGCACTTTCTTCTGCCAATCTGCCCACTCATCTGTATAGAATTTCATGCATGCATTTCCAGGTCATACATCCCTATCAGTCTAGCACTTAAATACAAGCCTGCCCCTAAGGCACTAATAAGATGCTTGTAGAGAAACAGGGCTTGTGTTTCTATACTAATTTGCATAAGTTGGAATATTATAAAAATATAGGTTCATTGTTGAAAGCTTTTCTGCCTCTGACTTGTACCATATAGTACAATTTATCCCACATCCTGACTCAGCTGGTCCACTCCTCTTTGGTTCTGGTTATTAAACTGAAGACAATCCTTTGAAGTGCTGTTCTTCTATTGAAGGTATACAGATTACTGAACAGAATGAACTCTAAATAGCCTTCTACCAAAGCTAAGGGAGATGCTTCTGCCCATGCAAAATGTTGAATTCAAAATGAAAACTTTCCTTCCATCCTTCCTTTCAGTAAAGCTTCTGACTCTATGGTGGTTCTCACTGCTTGAGGACAAGATGGCAAGAATGGTGACACCATCCAAATGAGCAGCTCACTTCTCCCTATGCCTTCTCAGTAGGTTAAGAACTGGGACTTGCATATGCTTTCCCTCTCCTCCTGAAAATTCTTCAGTCCCTTCTAAAGTAGGCTGATTTTATGCTAAGCCTGAGAACCTTCACTAGTTAGCCTTTAAATGTCAAAGTCCTCTCCCCAACTTCCTCCTCCTCCTCCTCAGAATCCAATGATGAATCAGTATATAAGGAACAGAGATGGGCCCATTCTCTACAACTCCTTATGCCAGGAATGGGGAATGTGTAGCTTCTCACATGATGTCGAACAGTAACTCCTGTAATCTCTTGGTATTAGCTATGATGACTAGGGATCATGAAAGTTATAGAAGGCCATACATTTTTCACTCCTGCCATATATTGAATGTTTCCTTGTTCCAGCCAACATCTGCCAAAGATAGGACAGGACAGGGCAAGATCTTACAGGATCAGGAAAAGATCTAGAAGGCCATCAGGTCCAACTGCCTGCTTAATGCAAGTCTCAAGTCTCCCATCCAAATACTAACCAGGCCTGACCCTACTTAGCTTCTGAAATTCGGTTGATGGAGTCTAGAAAAATGCATGTTTTAAGACAGAAGGACAAGAATAGGTTGAATTACGAGTTATAAAGGAAAAGAGGGACTCCACATGAGGTTGTTCTTCCACACCCAAGAGAAAATTGATATTCTAGTGGTATTCTAAAATACATTTGCTAAAAGTATATATTCCAGGTTTAATAGCTTCCAGTCTTAGAACAAGACTAAACATACATATCCATCACTCACCAGTTACAACATCTAATCATTACTTTCTTGTGTTCAATAGTTATCCTAGTTCAAACACTGCAGACAAAAATATCATATAATATAGCATTGTCCCCCACACAGCACCATTTGTGGGAAATCCACAGTCAGCTGCAAGTCAGCCCAAGTAATTTCCAGAGACATGCATGGTCCATGTAGCAAAGACAGTTTAATTACATGTAACTGTATGTCTCTGTATGGTCATTTGTGTAGTCACTTATACAAGCTCTGTCACTCAATTCTAAAACTTCTATAACCGAGGAATTTGGGTGGACCCCCTCTCCCATCCTAGTGTGCATTTCCTTAGTGGGTTCCCACCTATTCCTTCATGTCCCTGAGCCCACCTTTTGGAAGGAAAATTCTCAGTATTAAGTTAGACACCAACATCAATACTACAGATGACTCTGGTGACAATATTGAACTTGACTTTGACACAAAAATGGGATGGTGAATAGGTTGTGTAAATGTACAGAGGACCACTCAGAGAACTACAGTTATAGGGAGGCAACCTGTCTGTCTGGTCTCTGCACATCACACATAAGACAAGTAGCAAGCTAACTTTCTGGAGGTGAGTTGGGGGTATTGCAATACCAGGTCTGCTAGAGCTCAGATATCCAAACAACAATGCTACATAAACATTTAGTTGTCTACTGTTTACCAGGGAGCAACACAGAACAAGTAGCAGAAGGGATGCTGTATTCAAAGGCAACTGAAGTGGCAATCCCCAAAGCAAATGTACCTTAAACTCACCAGAATTCAAAGCCAATGATTTGGTCAGCTAACACTATGTTCTGGATCACCCAAGTGGCAAATCTGTGGTGGAAGACAGAAGCCCTTTGCATTCAGTGCCATAACTCAGACACAACTCCACCTGACCTTTGTAAAACCCAAGAGCCTGATGGACATCCAGGATATGGAGCACAGATTCCAAATGTGATGACGGGGAAGGAAAGAAATGTGGTGGTGGAAGTTGGAAGAAAGAAATTAGGTGGAAGTTGGAAATAATTTTGACAAGAAGGAGATATGTGAGTAAAGAACAGCCTTATCCTTACAGAGGATTTTACATGGAGGGTTGATCCTTAAGGTGCACTTGATTGAGGAAAGAAATGACAACTGCTAAAAGTGCACCTTCCGGGAGAGAAGATTTGCAAGAATTTCAAATGACTTGGACATTATTGCTTTAAAGATGACCAACAAACTCCACTGTAGTATAAGAGAACAGATAGGAGATACAAGATTACAAATTCTTCAAAGAAACTGCTTCAGCAGTGAGTGAAAATATAGAAGAACCATTCACCTGGGCTACAGAACAGCTGGTCTTCACCCACTCTTTCTAAGCAGATCAAGACAACATCTTTATTACATTAAAGCTGATCATCTAGCTGCTAGACTGTGATACAAAAGAAGCTTACTACAGAAGCCAGTAACAGAAGCCAAGCAATGTTAAAATACTGGCCATTAGGGAAATGTAGCTAAATGATACCAAGTTGCTTCCAAACTGAATACCTCTCCTCCCTGCCAAACCAAATACAGATGACTGCTTTCAAGGTGGATCATGTTGCTTAAAGCCTAATGACCTGGAACATTTGACATGCCTCAGCTGGTCTGCCCTCTTAAGCTGATGTCATATAATTGGATTACTGATGTTAAGTCTGCCCTGACCCATCTCAGTTTTCTCCCCAGAATTTTTCTCCAAACTTGGAATTGTCTGGTTGGTTCTCAAGGACTGCCTGGGTTATCTCTGGGTCCATTGGTCCAGGCATTGCAGATGCCAATGTCAAACCTGTGTCTTCTTCCACTTCTGATTTAGAATTTGAGTCAATAACCTTTGAAGACTTTGTTATAGGAGGAATGGGCCCAATTCCTACACACAGAAAGAATACTTCAGACCATCAGCACCAAAACAGAGATTATTGTGAATTCCAGGAGCAAGTGGTGGCAATGCCCAATGACAGAGTGGTTGGGTGGAGAGGCAAAAATACTTCATTATCCCATGGAGGCTGATTGATCATAGTTGAAGGAACGACATGCTAGGTAAGATGCCACCAAGATATCAATTGCTTACAATGAGCCTGCTGATTCTTTCTGGCATACTGCTCATCCCAATAATTGGAATGTTGGAATGGTAGGGAACACTGAGCTTCTCAATCTCAGTCCAGTTACAGAGAATGAGACCTATAATTTTGCCTGCAAGATCCACAGTTCCATTTTCCCTGCATGTCTGGAGAGCTATCTTGAGATTACCCTGGGGGGATAGGGTCCAAAATGGAAAGGGATCTTCTCAGAGGCTGAAGCAATCATCAGATCCTAAGCATACTGAGATCAGAACTGAAGAATTTAATATTAGCGGTGATGAAGGTATTGGAAGCAAGACTTTGTGCACAAGGTCACAAGACTGAGATTTCCTTTTTCTGGAGCTCCAACTTTAGAGTCCTTACCTTTTTTGAATTTTTCTTGGTGGCGCAATCTTCAAGAATGTGGAGCATTGACTGGACCTGGGGTTAACACCTGGAGAGGGACAGCTGCAGTCCTGAAGAGGCTTAGAGTATGAGAATCTGAAGGATATGATGATGAAGAACACAAGTGGTCCATCACCTTATTCACAGCTGCTACTGCTTTCTCTATGCATTGCCACAGAATTGTTTGGAGTCCGTATGCCATATTTATATAAGCCTGTTTAGTGATGGTTTGGCAATGGGCAGAAACCTCAGCAACTTAGCCTTCTCCAAGACAGATTAAACAGAATGCCTGGTTAGGCAGGAGTTTGCTCCCATACAGCACACACTTACAAAAGGAAGGGCCTTAAGTTATTATGCCTGACAAAGCACAAAATATTGTAAAATAATCAAAAAGAAACAAGGCATGGCATGACAAAAGGGCATCAATGAGGTAAGAGAGAAGAATGATAGCAGAAAGATCAGACAAAAAAATTCTGCTCAGCAACAAACACAGTGCCAGTGAGATGACAGAAGCTCTCCATGAGGCAACTACAATGGTAGTCAAACAGAAACTGCGGAAATAGGGGAATCTGCTATGGACACGCATACTGGGATGCCCAAATTCGTCAGCTTCTGAATTTACTCAAATTGAGGCTAAACACAGGTGCAGATGTACTGGTGTGCAATGTACCAAGACTGTGAAGCATCTGATATCTTTATTTTACATATCAAAATAATATCTAAAATTATTTTGATATGTAAAGCTTAAAGCTCAGGATAACTACTGGAAGATGAAGTATAGCTCCAGTTGTAAAACATAATAAAAAGTTGGTATGCATACACCTTTTTAACACTTCTTGCCAATCCAGGGTCAAAGGTAAGACACAGGCCAGGTTTGCATGCCATGACAACCCATCATGCAAATACGTTATGCAGGGTGGATCCTTTGAGAAACAATCCATGATGGATCTCACAGAAATTAAGTTCACTATGGAATCCTTCCATTCCCACCTGGTCCTCCCATGTGTATCCCAGGAAATTCTGCCATGGGACTTATCTGGTCTGCCCTCCCCAATGTGATTGTCAGCCCTTTTAAACACACAGCAGCTCCCCCCTTTATACATTTTTCATACATATTTATTATTATTTTCAGTTAGACTTGTACAAATGCACAGGTGTGCACTTATACAGGTCTGAACCAGCAAACCTCACCTAGATAATGTCCTCAAGGGTGTCTGCTGTCCAAGCAGAGCAAGCACACCCCTCTGTGCTGATGCAGGAAGGCTGCCAAAAGCTCTTATTTTCCTTTTGCTTCTTTTGACAGCTGACAAAGCAGAACTGCCAAGAGAAACCAAAGCCACAAGAAATCAAACCCATAAAAGTTCCAACAACTCTTGGGGCATGTCATGGTATCTGAAAGGTGGCTTGCTGCCCATGAATAAGCCATGCTGTGGGAAGCAACCTGGATTCACATGTCATGACAACCCACCATGACTTGACAGGCATGATGAATTGTCATGTCCTAGGAATCCAGTCACAGTGTTAGTAAAAGAAGAAAAAGAGATAAAGAAGAAAAAGGTAAAAGGTGGGGGTTGTTTCAAATAGAGGGAGGGAGGAGTATGGCAGAGAGGGCAAGGTCATGAATATATGATGCTGTCTGCCAGATGTCACTCCTGAGAACATTTAAACTGCAGATGCTACGAACTGAACCAGAGCTGACCTTCATTCAGAAGCTATGGTCTACCATGGCATAGTCCCATCCAGTTTGATTTGGTTTTGGCGCACAGGGATAACTTTAAGTCCCTGTATGAAAGTTCAAATTTCTTCTAGGTCCATCCATCCATCCATCCATCCATCCATCCATCCATCCATCCAGTGTTTGTTAAAACCAGCACTTCTTTCCAAAAGAAAGGCATATACCTACCCCTTCAAGGCCATATCTATGCTTCTATCAAATCTAATCCACAATGCATTTACTGGTTATTTTGGTATTTAATCTTAAATAAGTATGTTAGGACTGAAATCTGCATGTATTAATGCCTTATTTTGTTGCTGACAGTACCAAGTTTGAACATTTCCCTACAAAATAATAATTCAATGTAATTTAGTAGTCTGATAAAGAGTTTGTCAGCTATGAAAACATGGCTATAATTTTTAATTATGAGTCCATCAAACTGAAAGCATAACAAGGCTTTATTCTAGTATATTTTGATGGCCACCTAATGTCTTATTTTTCCCAGGTGACTTAAAACCATGATGCTTACTTTAGGGATTAAAAGGAGTCATATGTTCAGGGCATATTATTTAGAAGGAGGTACAATAAAAGTTTCCCTCTTTTACATTGAAACATACATTAAATACCATTAAAGAATCAATAATGTAAAATGTAAGCACCCCAAAATAGCTAGACATTGTACACCTTTAACTGTTTTATGTACTAAAAAAGATTATTAAAAAAGAAAGTTGATATGACATACTTTCATTGTCCAACTTAGATGTTGTGTTTTTTAAAAGCATTATATACCAAATAATTTTGTTATGCTATGCAGCCCAGTGAACATTTGTTCATTAACTCCCAGGCATATTTACTGAAGTTCCTATGATAATGTACTTGTGTGGTAATACAAGTATCCAGGTTATAGATGCTATCATGGAGGAAAAAAATACATTTTGTTCACTTGGGTTTCTTGAGCCTATCCCAAGTTTACTCTGAACATCTCTGTTGACCTATATCAATCTGCCCCAACCTAATGCCCTCCAGGTGAGTTGGACTACAACTTGCATCATGCCCTGCCAACATAGCTTCCAAAGTGACATTTTTAAGGGAGGAGAACTTGTGAAGCAAGGGAGTGTTAGTTTACCATAACAATAAGTTATCAATGATATATTTTAAACATTTCAATTCATAATAATACAACATACAATAGCTGTGTAAAGCAGGGGAGAGGGAAGAGGAATAAACCAGAAAATAGCTTGAAAGAAAAGAATAAAAACAGAATTAAAACCAGACGCTTTAGGAAAAAGAAGAAAGCCAAAAATTCAGTCACTGAAATTAATATCTTGCCTTACACATACATTTAAGCAGTGAAAATATGCTCTCAAGCCAAAAAGAACAATAGTATAGTTTGAAATCAAATTAAAAAAATTGTAGCCATGCAAGTGGTAAATTTTCCAAATTTCACATTCCTACATAAAGATTAGAAAAGTTTCACCTAACACAGAAATGGATGTTAGGAACAAAAATGATTTCTTAGCCTAGATTTTATTTTATATTAATCTAACCAAGAACTTATGAGAAACCATTGTATGAGTTTCCAATTTGACTCAGAGGCTATTAATATCTCAACTAAAAAACTTTGCCTACTCCATTTACAGAATTTGAAAACATAGATGAGGAAAAATTATCTGTAGCTTTAATTTTTACTAAGAATATTAATTAAAAAATCTGCTGTTCTGCATTTTAAGACCTGCTGCCGCTGCAACTGCCCCCTCCCACCTTCCAGCATTCTGACTGGCCCAAGCACATACTGCCTGCACTGGGCCTGGTGATTCAGCAGCCACGTCCTAGACAAAACGCAGGCTTTTGCTGGATGATGGGTGTGTGCCTTTGGGATGCCACAAGGGTGAAAGTGCATCTGTATTTCTTCCTCACCTTCCCCTGTTAATGTTGGCCTATACCTGGAACAAGCCTAGAGGGAAATAAGGAACTGGGAAGAGAGCTGGCCAAGTAAAGGGAATGCAGCCCAGATAGTTAACATCTATGCCATGTTCCAGTCTTCCCCTCTTTAGTGGGTTTGACAGCTGCCATGTCAGTCTGACCTGCTTTTCTGGCTCACATGGCTGGCACTTTTGTTGAAGCCCTGGTCATGCTGTTGAATGCAGAAATGACCTGGGCAGTTGATATGATTGCTCCTAAGGACCCTCTCTGTTGTAGAGTTCATATGCTTTGTGGTACACCCAGGAACTGAGAGCAATTAAACAATTTAGGAGATTATTTGAGTGCAGATGAATGAAAACTCCCAGTGAATGCAACAGAAACCTGATATACTTAAAAATCGAGTATATTTTGAGGCAGTAAGGGTGGCAAAGAAACAATATCTCACTGCCTCAATTCAATCTTCTCTCTGCCATTCAGTGAAGTTCTTCAAGGTTGTCCAGAACGTTTTATATTCTAACCCCAGGGATATCTTGGGACCATTTCGGACCTCCTGTAATTTACTTGCTTGTCACTTCAGTTCCAAGAAAAAAAATCTCTTGACTCTGTAGGGACTTGGACTCCAGAGTTAACACAGATGAATCTGTGCAGATATCCAGAGCACAGCCTGGTCCAGTTTTATTGGATGAGTTTCAGTTGATAAAGCTCAAGAATGTGGACAAGGTGCTTGGCCAGTTCATGCAACCACCTCTATACTGAATCCTTGGCTCTCCTGGATTATAAAAGCTAATAAGAAAAGGACAACCAAGAGTTGATTAATGCCTCCTAGATAGAGGGAGTAACCCCATGCCTCCTGAAAGAGGTGGCAGTGAGACCACTTCTGAAAAAGTTCTCCCTTGACCCAGAAGACCTTAATAATTCAAGGCAGGTAGTAAACATTCCTCCCCTGGGCAAGGTTCTAGAAAAAGTGGTTGCCAATCAGTTCCCAGCACTCAGTTCCCTCATTTCATTTGGGGATCAGGCCTGGTTTTAGTATGGAAACAGCTTTGGTCACCCTATATTATGACCTATGCTGGGAGGGAGACAGGAGAAATGTGACCCTGTTGATTCTCCTGGGCCTCTCAGCAGCTTTAGATACAATCAACCACGGAATCTCTGGGGCAGCTGTCTAAGCTGGATACCGCATTGCAGCGGTTTCAGTTCTTTGGAAGGCCGTCTCCAGAAGGTGCTTAGGGAATACTGTTCAACCCTGAGGATTCTTCAGCATGGCATTCTTTTGGGGTCTTTTCTAACCCTCATGCTGTTTAACATCTACAAGAAACCAATCAGTGGGGTCATCCAAAGTTTTGGAGGGTGCTGACATCAGCATGATAGTGTTTTACAGCTCTATTTCTCCTTTTTATCAACAGCATGTGACGCTGTGAATGTGCTAAACCAGTGTCTGGCTACAAAAGTAGACTCGATGAGTGCTAACAAAAGGAAACTCAATCCAGACAAGACTGAGAAGCTGTTGGTGGGTGGTTATCCTGACTGCATGGGGGTGGGATGTTCAACCAGTTCTAGATGGGGTTGCATTCACCCTGAAGAAGCAGATTTGTAGATTGGGGGTGCTCCTTGAGCCATCCTTTTCAATCGAGGCTCAGATAATCTCAGTGGGTCAGAGTGCCCAGCTACACCTCTACCTGTACATTCTAATATTAATCTCCAAGTTAGATTGCTATAATGTACTCTATGTCGAGCTGCCCTTGAAGATGGCTTAGAAGCTGCAGCTAGTGCAGAACACAGCAGCCAGATTAATATCTGGGACTCACAGACCTAAACACATAAGACCGGTTCTGGCCCACTTGCATTAGGTGCCTGTATGCTTCCAAACCCAATTCAAACTGCTGATTTGAACCTATAAAACCTTACAGGCCTGCAATACCTGTTGGAGCACCTCTCCCAACTGCAATCTACCTGGACAGTACACTCAACCTCTGGGGCCTTCCTCTGAGTGGTGGCTCCAAAGAAATTCAGGGGGTGGCTTCAAGGGGGAGTGTTTACTCTGTGGTGGCTCCTGGCTTATGGAATAACCTTCCCACCTAATGTGTTATCATTTTGGCACCAGGTTAAGACAGCCCTCTATGCTGCGGCTTTTGAAGACATATCTTTGTACCCAGGGGCATGAGAGGATTGCCCATTCTAGGTGTTTTATTGAGTCTCTCTTTGCTATTGTTTCACCTGTTTTAACTTTTTAAACTTTTAATGTATTTTTCATTTTATATATTTTATTGTATCGTAATAGCTGTATGTATTTTCATATTTGAAATGTACACATATTGTATTTTAATATCTGATTTTGGACTGTTGAAACCTGTCCAGAGAGCTTCAACTAAGGGGAGGTATAAAAACAAAACAAACAAAATACTGAGAAAATATTTTAAATCTATTTTCATTTTGGAACAATTGATGTGAATATACCCATGGTGCACTGCAGACAATTGTTTTAGTTTGTGCAAGCCATTCTGAGGGTTTTAAAAGCAGAAAGCAAATATAAATCAAAAGCAAACAAAATTATTCCCAAGAATGACAGGAAACAAGCAGCCTCTGATTGTGCATATATAAAAGCCTGAAAAACCTCCTGATCATAATTAAGGAACGTTACTCTGGAACAGTGTGTTCTAGTGGAATCAAAGACAATTTTTCATAGGTAGTCTGTTTAGGTATGAAGTGCCAGAACATCAAATAGTTAAAGAAAAAATGTAGTTCAGAAGATTTGTTCTGTCAATTAGTAACTTTTTTAAAAACAGAGACAAGAACAAAAAGGGAAGAAGGAAAAAAGACAATGGAACCAGGAAACAGAAGCCTATGCTTGTTCACCTTTTGGTTACACAGGGCCAAAAGGAGGAAGGGATGAGCATGTATTTCTTTACTGTAAATTTGTTCCACTGACCTGGATGACATACAAACAGAATTGTGTACAGAGCTTCTGAACTCCAACTCAGAGATTTGGCATTATAAGGAGTAAGGACAAAAAGCAAGACTTTCATCTACACAGGTATCCTTGTGCAAACACTCCAAGGATCAGAGAATCACAGGGGGACTGTATGGTTGCTAAACAGAAGTTTATCTGGATAAAATCCTCTAGTGTAGCTGGGCTTCTTGAGTCATCTCACAGGTCTTCCAGTAACAGAAGGCAACAGAATAGATACATTTCTGATCTGCAATCTGACAAGATAGTTAAACACATGACAGGGGCTTCCAAGCACAACTGGATTCAAAAACTAATGCAATTTTGAAAGAAAACCACAGACTTCTAGGTATTTTGTTGTGGAAAGATAATTTTAAAACTTTCCTAACTCACATCTGGGTAGGAGGTCTTATTATGTAATCTACTACAGCCTTAAATCACAAGTTAATAATATTATCTGATTTGATTAACTGGTGGACTAACAGGAAAAGCCTATGGAACTTATGTGTGTAGAGGGGGGTTGACCTGTATGATGGACCTTCATACAGACTGCGCTTGATCTCTTTTTCATGCAGCAGGTTTTATGGACCCTATTTTCCAATTGCCATGATTTGCCTTTCAAAGTGAAATTGCCGTAGTCATTTTATTTAGCAAGAATACAGCAACCAGTATCAGCTAGATCTCTAATACTAATGGACCTTGAAAATTTAGTTTTTGAAACCCTTTTGGCACTGACAGATTATTATAAGATGGTGCCTTGTGTACTTCTAAGTGTAACCAAGACTGATAGTACATATCTCACTAAAATCAGTAGGGAATGAAATCTTGGTTTGTCAGGACTGTGCAACTTAGATTACCACTGTTGCTTGTTGCCTTTCTGTTCTTCCTTCCTACTGTGAATCACTGGAATTTGAATTGACTACTTAGATATTCACTCTGACCAAAGACACAAGACTATTAAGAACTCCATGAAATGTGAATTTTGGAAACTTGTCATCTCACAAACAGCAAAAGCAAAAGAAAGCAAAGTATGTTAATTTTGATCAATGTTATCTAAACAAACCAAAACCAGTTAATTAGGAAATGAAAGGGAAGCAAGAAGCAGTAAACTGGGTGTAATCAGTGATGGCCAATCACCTGCAATTTTCATCCAGCACATCCAAGACTTGCTGGTAAGCCCTACGGGTAGAAGACTGGATGAGCGACAAAATGCCCCGGGCAGAGTAAAGATTAGCTCCATCTTCAGTGAACATTTGGGGAGGACAAACACGAACCTGCTGAGGTGATGGTGTCGCACTGCTTGTGCCAAGCATAGCAAATGGAGAGAGAAACACTTGTGTCAAGTTTCAGATAAAAAATGTTTCATCCATCAACCAAATCCTTATTTTTTGCTAAAATTAAACTGGTTCTGTTTTTTGTGAATTTCTTGAGTTAGTGGTTAGGATATCTTTTGAACTGCATTTCAAAACCTCTTGTATGAGACAAAACTTAAAGCTGTTTTAAGATAATCATTCCCATCCAATGTCATCAGGAGATAATAAACTCTTACAATAAAAACCCAACAGGAATAGTCAATGCAAACCTGTTTACCGAACACGAAATCACTGTTAACTAAAGACAGATTCTGACACACTGGATTGGATCCAGACTTTCTCTTACTCAAAAGTAAACCCATTGAAATCCATAATTTTGTCATGACTAACCTAAGTCCCATTGACTTCAATAGACTTACTCTAAGAATGGGATCAACCAACCTTATGCCAAGATTGAAGAGCATCAAATATCAGAGCATCAAATATGCAAGTTACTTAGTAAGTGGTGGAGGACACTATGTTGAAAAAAATCTGGAAAATGTAAGTTTACATAAAACAAAAGTGATACTGATGTACTGGACTGGATCTGGTCTTGGTCATACTTAGAGCAGATCCACTGAAATAATGGACCTTAAGCTAATTGTGACTAATTTAACAATCAAGTGGGAATAACTGATTTCAATTAGGTGTCTTCTAAGTATGACTAAATCTGAATCCAACCCACTGTTTTTATAAATACAGAGCTAAGTGAAGAACATGTAAGTAAACAAATAAAAAAGAAACACAGAAGCCAGCAACAACAATGAAGACTTCTACACATATTCCAGAAATTCTGACAGGCAGTAAGCCTTTAGGTAGCAATACCACAGTCTCCAACAAGAGTCTGAGAGATCACAGGATACTTCAGATTCTCGTATCTGAGGTCCCAACCACATTCTAACCTTGGTGGGGCGAGGGGAGCTGCAATGTGCCCATCCCCCATAGCTGACATAAAAAGAATGGTTCTAACTGCCTTTCTGTGGCTGGGAACATGACCTTAGGAGGGGGAGGAGTGTTTCAGTGGGAAGGGAGCAGAAGAAACAAGAGGTAGCAAGATATGAGCTCTTCTAGGTCTCTCCAACTTTCTTTTCTCCCCTTTTGAAATTCTGTTGATAGAATGGCAAAACAGTCTGTCTATCAAAAAAATGCATGGTGGGCAGATGGGGAAGTGAAGATATTCTCAATGTCTCCTCTTTCCCTACACAGGTTGACTGAAAATCTCCAGGTTCAGGGGCATACAATCACTGCAACAGAATTGTGTCCTTAAAACCCTTGTTCTGAAAGCAGAAGGCTACAGCACTATATCAGAAGGCCTTCTTGCCTGTAAAACAAATTAAGAGTAGTCTAGCAGTGAGAACATAAATATGAATTTTAGAGTTCAGTTCAATGGATACTGATTAAATCATTCTTCAAAGGTTGATTTCCAAAGAGCTATTATCTCAACAAGATTTCAGAAAAGAATACAACTGAAGATGCAAAATATAAAAAAATACAAAGCAAAATCTTGTGCTAGCTTTAAAGCTTGTAGTGTCATCTTCTTTCTTTCAAAAATCTTTCTTCTTTTCTGTATTTTACAATTGCTCTTGAATTTTGAAATTAGCAACATTAACCAAGATTTTATAACTGATTCCTACCCCAAACTGTGCAATGGGCAAGGAAGTATTTTAAATTATTCTAAATAATTTTTCCCCCTTCCCACATATAGTTTACTTATCGTCCATAATAAAGAGTTTGGGAAAATGCAAAAGTCTGACATTTTATGACATTTTGCTTAGTTTTTTGTTTCTCTAATTACAGAAATAGCCTGGCTTCAGTGATACATATCCTGGGAATCACACACTGAGGTGACTACAATATACTAAAAATGGTGATGCCCTTAAAAATGGTCTACAAAATTTATTTGTTCAGAATATATATTAAAAACTGTGACTATACACATTATATCATCACTTCATCATCTCCACAGGTTCTCAGCCTATTTCTGGGTTCAATTTAAAGTGCTTGTTTTGAGCATAAAAGCCTTTCCCTGCTTGCTATCTGAGGGGCTGTCATCTCCCACATGTACCTACTCAAAATCTGAGGGCATGATCTGAGGTCTTTTTATGAACTGATCTGCTACCCTGAACCCATTGGTAAATGGATTCTAAAGTGCCCTGTAACATCAACAATAACCCAGGCTTCCCAGGTTCACATGTCACATTAATTCACAGTGACTGCCTGCCACAGCTTGAATATTCACAGTGCTGTGTACTGCAATCCATTATGGTTTATTTAAGCCACAGTGGGCTCTGGTGATTATACAAACCAGCCCTATGAATGCTCCAACCAAGTAAGAGTCAGGAGGTGGCAGTGACCTGGTTCACATGATCACAGGGTGGTTAATAAAGTTGAGTTGTTGAGATGGGTAACAAATCATCAGGCAAGCCTAGAACAGGCAAGCCTCGAACAGGCCACATCAACAAGGCATCCTTGCTGGGTTCAGACATCACAATGAGCTGTTCTGGCTTGTGCAATCAGTACCTAAAGTAGGAAAACAGCCAAAATATTTCCCCAAATTCATTACTGGAGAAATTAAGAATTTTCATACCTTATAAAGCCTAAGCATGGATTATAGATAGAACATATAATACATAATAAAAATAATTTCATATGATACATTCCAGAATTTTACTCAGGAATGCAGTAAATACACCAATGAATTTTTAAAAGTGAATAGTTAATAATTAGTGGTCAAGCTTACATGTCCACTTTAGGTGTGAATGGTGACTGGTACCACGGCATTTTATTCTGAGAACAGTTTAAGGACAGTGCCACCGTGAGTAAGAATTGTGACAATTTTAAAGAAGGTACTCTCTAAATGAATGGAAGGCATCATTCTTCCTCATGACTTCTTGTACTTAGGTTACTAGTTACAGAAAGTATCTGAGAATCTGAGCATATTCCAAAAGTTGCCAGGACAGTGGTGATGCCAATATAAAAAGCACTATTGTTTCAAGAAGCCAGAGGGAAAAAAAAAGGAACAAGCAAATTCTTCTAGGCCTGGGAAAGTTTGTTCACAGAATTTTATCATTGTTACATCTAACATACTAGAATGTCATGTCACAGTTCGTATTACACTAGAATGCAGAAGCATTCCTATGTTTACGCTTACCAAGCATGACAGCAGTTCCAACTACAAACATGCACACCAAACAAGAGAAAAGTATGGATGTTTGTCAAAATGTTGAACAATATACAGTACTTGAATGGATTTATGTATTTATTACTTAGTAATGAGTATTATTTAGTACTGAGAGCCATGTCAGGCAAAAATTGTTTTTGCGAAAAAGCAGAATACAAACTACAAATAAAAACTAAAAGTAGCAGTCTGGGAACTCAGGCCCAAGAAGAAAAGGCAATCAATCTACATGAAACTTGCTACTGAAGTGCTAGATTGGCAGCCTATCCCTTTCAAGTATTAGCAAAGTTTCTGAGGTGCCAAAATGATTTAGAAAATATAATATACTTCTACGGTTGCCAATTACATATCACCAAACCAAAGCACTGATATGCATAACATTTAATGTGCTTATATGAGCACATTCAAAAATAATTACTAGAATTTCAAAAGAAATATAGTACACCACAGTATATGAGGAGTGACCAAGTGCCCTGTGTGTTCAGGTTGCTGTCCAATTGAGAACTGTTGACAGGCAACTTCAAAGCCCTTGCTCTCCCTTCTTATGGTTCTTCATTTTTAAACCAGCCCTTTAAAAAAGGACCATTTGACATAGAAGTCACAAGCCTGTTTGTGTAGACTTGGACATGAACCTAGTTAGACAGAAGCATCAGACCATCTGAAATGCCTGCCAGCTCCAAGAGCCACTACAAACAGCAAGTGAACCCTGCCTTGCCCTGTATTCCCCATCAGTCCTGCCTTATGCCCATCCTTCCTGGAGGGCAGATAAGGAATTACTTCATGTCTTTTCTTCTTCCTGCTTTCCCTTCCACTGAACTGTGGACAAAACAGAAACACAAACGAAACCAGTGGGGCAAGTGGGCAATTTCTTTCTTCAGTTTATTCGACAGGAAACCAAATTATTTATCTTGCTAAAAGAAGACCTAATGAAAATAAAATGATCACCCAAGTCTTGTTAGGTCAGAATGTATATCATAGGTAAAGTCCAAGATGGTTTGTATTAATTACATTGGTACTATAACACAAGATGCAATTCCAACTATGTATACTATAAACAGAGGATCTAAGTAGTTCCAATAACATTAAATCATATAAAATCTTATTCTAAATGTATTTTTCAAATGAAAATCATGTAACATTAAGGCAGAAAAACAAGATGAGACAACTACAAGCCATAGTATACACTATTATTGAGCAATGGTTTTCACTGATCAGTCAGCACTACACCAATAAAAAACTGCTAACTAATCCAAACCAATGTATATGTCTGATGAGGATATACTAGGTAATCTGTTACATATCTCATCATGTACAGCTCTATAGTTTTTTCATAAATATAATTTGAAAATTAAACATTCTACATTGATATAAATCAAAGGATTTCAGATTCGTTTCATCATTATAACTCAGAAGCAACATAAATGTCTTTATGTTATGAAAACATTGGAAGGTATATTTCAGGGAGTTTTTTGGTTTTAAGTGAAGCACAGTTAAGGACAAGGATTTGGCAAAATGTATACGCTTCAAGTTACTGAATTCTTCTGTATACATATTTTAGCAACTGTCTAATGCCTTTCCTTTAGCTGAGTAAGTTGAACAAGTTGAGGATAATGAAATAATGTATTTGAATACAAGCAAATTTATTAGTATTTCAATTAGCCAATCAGCAATTGAAGTGTTTCTTAACCATGAACTGAAAAAAAGCTTTTTCTGCAAAGCTGTCCTATGTCAAGAAATTCTCTACTCACATAGAATCATTTTTTATCAGTTGACCATTCTGACGAGTTGCATTCTCACTCACTGAACGTTCTCTTCTCAGTCTTCCTACTGAGCGAACCTAAAAATACAGGGTGAAAATTTAAAAAATATAGCAAGCCTTTCAACCTAACTATGGCATCAAATCCAAGATTATGATTGGATTGATTATCACGTTATGTCAATCAATAAATTTCCTTCAAATTATGAGTAATACATCAAATGAATAATATGGCTGCCTTTTGCAGGGTAACCTTTTATCATTTGCAGATAGATTGCACAAACTCCTTCCCTTCAATTTTCCCACTATCTAACATTAAAGATTAAATCTTGGAAAGTAAGATTTATTTTTTAAGGAAGTTAAAAATTTCTAAATGGATTACACAAAAAGAAAATACAAAAAAATTAAGGTAGAGATAATATGTGATCAATCTTAATGTATAGATCTTAGAAACCAGATAAAACCAACTGAAAGGACTTCACTTATGTCTTAAAGGGCTAGGAATTTTTAAAAAACCTTTGCGCCAAAAGGTCAACATATAGGCACCAGCAATCCTCTCAGGGGCGAACTTTCTATATTTGAGGCACCATCACCAAATGACTCTGGTAGCTACCCTCCTAATCACAGGGGCAGTAATTTGTTATTACAAAAGAAAACTAGATTAATATACAAATTTACATATGGAAAAAGGTTTACAATGAATTTTGTCAGAGAGTGATTGAACCATATCAACTAATATGGACTCATTCTTTTTAGACTGTATAACCCTATAAGAAATTAATTTATACAGACAATCTTATTTACTTACAGCATTTTTACCATGTTCTTCAGCTGCTTCAGGTGTACAATTCAAAAAACACATGACAGAAAAGGGCATAGCATTAGGAGGAAAAAAGCAAACTCAGACACTTGTGCTTGGAGTTAGAGGTATTCAACGTCAAACAATTTGCAAGAGATTTCTACCAATAAAAAAATGATCAGAATTGGAGATGCACGCATATTAAATTCAGAATATGTATGTGTGCATTCTGGAAGTATAGCAGAATTGAAACATCCCAGAAAGTTGTACTTGAGTCCATGTCAGTCATTTGATACATATAGGATATATTAATATAATAATTCACCCTTGGCCAAAATAGGTGGCATCAAATGTACACTAACAGCACTGAAGAAAGTAATTTTAAAACTGGTGTGTCAAGTCTTCTATATCCCCATGCTTCCAATATTTCTCAGTCCCAATGAGATGTGCATTTCCATATTCTGTTTCCAATGAAAACTGATGCTTTTATTCTTCTAAGTTTTGGGTCCATTGTATCCCCACTGGAATGAATGAGGAAACTGAAAAACCATGAACCTAAAGTGCCAGAAGTTAAAGTGCTTCCACAAAATATTGTTCCATTATTCTTCTTGTCTACAGATACTTGGATCAGAACCTGTTCATTTCTTTTGAGAAAAAACCATAAAGGGTAAAAATGCAACTGTTTTCTATTTACAAAAGAAAAACTATTCACTTCTTAAATTCACTACATAGTTTCAGGAGTCATAGGCACCCCATAAGTGTATGAAAGTTTATTTTGTTAAAAATGTTTTCAATTTTTTTATTAGAACAATTGTGAACAGTAACACTAAAATTGTGACTAACTGGAAAAAATTGGGTAGTGGATGGATTCCCCGAAGCAACCCCTTCCCCTGCAAGAACCTTGGAGGGTTCCAGCCCTGAAAGACAACCTATAAATATTATAAATAAATGGCATCATAACATGAAGAAAATGACCATTTTTTACAGTTTTGAATTTGTTCTGTTTCTGGGCTTGTTGTGGTATAAGATACTATAGCAAACCAACATGTGTGAAAAATAAGTTATCTTCCAGTGCCATCACATGTGACCAAATAATATATGGATTATCCTACTTATTTTTTGGTTATTTGATGTTTGTTTTTAAACATGGGGGGTTTGGTCTATGAAATGAACTGCCAACATTTTTCATTACGTTTAGGCTTTAATGTTACAGAATGCTGCTTCTGCTATGAAAACTTTAACAGCTTCATTTTGAACCAAAAATGTTTACTAAGGGGTTTTTTTTAAGGGGAATGAAAAAATGCGGACACTTATTAAATAATAAACTGAGCTTGCTCAAAGGATATTGCATTGATTATGTTTGGTCACTATTCCTAATATGACGGCGTCTTTCCCAGCTAACACGATCTCAATAGCTTTTCCTTCAGATCAGATTTTCCTAAACTTCATCCCAACCAGAGAGACAGTCTTTCATCCTCCTGCTTTTTTGGCTCTAGGGAGATTCAGATTTTTCAAGAACTGAAGCTGAGTGCTTGGGAAGGCTCCTGTTTTATATACTGAACTACAAGTATAGTTTAGTCAGAAAATAATTTTAAATCTACTCAGAAGTTTAATTGTGAATGTTTTTAATTCTAAAGAAAATTTTAAGAGTGAATCAAGCTACACATATTTAATATTGCTAAAGTACCACATCCAGTTTAGATCTGGACAGCACACTCCTAAAGAAAAATATTTTTTATTTTACTCCCCCAAAATATGCACGTATGTATTCATCCATTTTTTCTCCTTCAGAAAATTACTTTTTTCCCCATGATTTCAACATTGCATTAATCTAAAGTCTCTATGTTGTACCCAGGAGCATTCTTTTCTTTTTCATTATACGTATTTAGATACGTCATGCTACCCCAAAAGGCAACAGATTATAGCCTCATGTCTATTTAGATTTATAAAATTAGCCCTGTACTCTCTAACAGAACTTTTGCAATTTTTAAAATAATTTAAAATGAGTAAAAAAAACCACCCCTATTTTTCTAAATGGGACAGGCTGACATAGTTCACAGAATGGAGCTCTGCTTACTCACTCCAATCAGTAAATCAGCTTTTCCTCAGTTATTTTTAGATGTATAAAATTCCCGTTCCTATAGTAAACAACAAATTACCCCTGACTTCAAGCAAAAGTGTACTCTAGCTGTTGACAGAATCTGGTCCACCTTATTAACCATCAAATGTATTGCAAGCAATTATGCTTCTAAGAATATATACAAATAGGATTTGAAAAAAGTGCGAAGCAATGTGAAAGTATTTCTGAAAGTATTTTCTGAAACTGAAAGTATTTTCAGTCTGCATTTTAACTATACAGTCTTCAAGGTAACTAACATCAGTGTCCCAGCTTTGGAACATGCTTCCCGGAGAGGTGTGCCTGGCACCAGGCCAAAACTTTATTTTCTACCATCCTGAGATCCAGGTGAAGGATGGGATAGAAATGCTTATATATATAGTAAGTAAGTAAGTAAGTAAGTAAGTGATTTTGAAAATGCAAGAAAAACAAATCCAAGCTAGTTCTGTCATAGCTCATGTAAACAAGCACATATGACTTATGTTGCTACTCCATGGAAAAAGAGGTATGTGCCAAGAGAATCTCTGCAACAGGCATTCTGGGTACTATTACAGTAGAAACTCTATCTCTAGTATCCACTTGCCTATGTCTAGAAGGGCAAAACACCTGGAGCAGCACTGTAAGATGATGACCACAGAAAACAGACAGGCTTATATACAGGAAGTGATTCCTCAGTTATTCAGATCATATTTAAACCAACACTATACTGACCTGGAGTATAGTGCAGAAGATACTCATCTTCCTTTCTTACTTCTTTATTAAATATAAAACTGATACAAATGTGATGGAACCAAAGACAGAAAGAATACTAGCCTCTTCCGTCTGAGGAGTGGCTCTTTCTAGGTCCAGAAAATCTAGTGGCCGTTCACTGAGTGAAATAACACGGGGTGGTGTTTTCAGTGACAGAGGATTGAACGGCGTCGACTGGAGAAGATCTAGATCTGGTGGCCTGGAAAGTGGAATGTCTTCACTATTGCCTGAAACAAAGTTATTTAAAATCAATGTTTGATTTATACTTTTTTGGTGAGATTCAAGCAGCAGAGTTTTGGAATAAGAGAGCCATGTATAAATTCCACCTCAGATATAAATGCACTGAGCAGTGTTAAACAAATCACACTCAACTTCATCTGTAAAAACAACCAGGTTGTTCTAGGAAAGAAGGATTTTGTAGGAAAGAAGTGCAGAGTGTAAAGCATTTCACAATTAAAAGAAATATAAATATAAAAATATTTTAGGGATATCCTTTTTCTAAGTACTTCAATTATTTCAGTAGTACATATAGACATATTATTTCTACATGCATTAGTATTCAGCTACCTCAGTACCACACGAGAGCAAAGACATAAGCTAATCTTTTTCTTTAACACCATTCATTAAGCATTTCAGCATCTGGGAGGCCATAGGATTATTTAGCATCCTACCTACAAGATTCTGTGTACTTAAGGGCTGAACCCTTGCCCCACTCTCTTGCAGCCACTTTCTTAAAGAACCATACCAGCTGCCAGCTCCCATAAAGTTGCAACTGTGCCTTGGAGAAGGAAAAAGGGGACATGTGAGGGATAGGGAGGGAAGGTGACTGGAACCATGGAGCTATGCCAGTTGTAACGGATGTCCCAGCCTCCTTCCTTCTTTCCTGGCACTAAATCTTAGACAGCCAGAAACAGTTGTCTCGAGAAAATGCTGGGTACTAGGTGAGGTAAAGCTACCAATGCACCTTGCTGCTGTTACTGGATGTCAGCAGGTTTTGTGCATCTTCCAGAGGGACAATGGGACTGCACTTGCTGGATTGCTTGACAGTGTTCTGTAGTGGTCAGAGTGCTGGACTGGGGACCTGGGAGATCACTAAAAAAACCACATCATTCCCCACAATATATAATGGATGTTATATATGAGCAATTTAAAGTCTTAAAATGCTACCTATATTCAAACAGATATAATTTGGAAGAAAAATATGTTTTTAAAAAACACAAATATTTTTTATGCTGATGCGGACAATGACTATGTCAGTAAAAACACAAATGGGCATATTATGTACCTTGATCCTGTCTCTACTGGCAAAGAAAAGTTATCAGAATTTTAAAAACGGTTAGAATAAGTGAATTTTAATACAAGCTAATCATCACATATGGCTGTATCAAGTCAATCCTGCAAGAATGTCTATGTAATAAAGCAGTATATTATAACAAAAGAAACTAGAAAAATCCTAGAACACTCTAATTTTAGGTAGACACAACTTGAAGTAACAGATATGATCTGATTACTTTTTTACCAAATCTTCCCAGTAGCATTTACACTGGTCACTGTTATTTTTAAGTTGCTTATTTGTTTTTATTTATTTTGTTTTTATAATCTACCTGGCATCAGATGAAAATATATAACAAATCAGCAGTAAAATTGCTAAAATTCATAGAGCAATAAGGAGGGATTATGGTCAATTTGATGGCCAAAAGGTGAGAGAAGTTCTCAGGAGGGTATTTGACAGAAAACATTGCATATTAATGATTATTTATTACATTTTTATTCTACCCTTGCTCCAGGTAGCTCATGGCAACACATATAATCTTTTCCTCATTGCTTTATCCTGAGAACAATTAGTTACAGCAGGCTTAAATGGTGTGACTGGTCAAAGTTTATTGAGTGAGCTTAATTGAGTGAGGATTTTGAGCCCATCTCTTTCCAGACAAAGTCTAATACTCAAGCTACTTTGTTTTAAGAAGGCATATATAATCATGAAATGTTTTTTTAATTGTTGTATTATTATTATTTATGTATGTTTTTATGTATTCTTTGTGAGCCGCCCCGAGGCTTTGTTGCGATGGGGGCGGCATAGAAATGTTTTAAATAAATAATAAACTACAAATATCAACTGCAAATGGCCATCTTTGTTACAGTGAATATGCATGGACAGTTAGATGTAGAGTGTGACAGAATAATGCTTTAACACCTCCTCCCACCCAAAGGTAAACATACCTGCCACTACAATGCGCTCCGGCACTTGCATTGTTACACTGGCATTTGGAAGTCCTCCTTCAGGAGCTGTCTGTTCAAGGTCAGCGTTTGGTGGAGCTACCTTAAGTTTTTCTGGAACCCTCATTCTCTGGTTGATCCCTTCAGTATACTCAATTTCATATTGAATGCGATTCATTTCTGCCATTTCGGCAGCTGGAGATGGGAATGCTGCTGAACTCATCCTAACAGAGGGGGGAGGGAGGGAAGGGGGGAGGGAGGAAGAAAAAGAGAGAGAGGGAGAGAGACTTACCCTTGAATTAGATGTTACCTAGCATGGGTTTTAGCGCATAGTGCTATACATTAATTCATTAACTTGGTAAGGAATACAGACTTTTTTCCCTTTACAGTCAATGCTATTGGATTATCCTTGGAGTTCAAATTTGGCAAGACTTCTTCCTTCACAGTTGCAGTGGAACAGTTCTTAAATCACCTCTCTTTAGATACCTAGCACAAAATATTACTAAGGAACTGGCAGGTTGTGATTATATTGTATGGCAAGCTAGGGTAACCATGCTTGAAATAAATGGCAGAGAGGGCAAGTTCTCATATTTTTGGCAAGCAAAGGGACTTCAGTGGACATGGGTTTGATGCAGCCCCACATTCTGACCTCATAAAGGGCTAAAACTGATAAGACATTTTGTTTTGTTTTGTTCTTAATTGCAAAATGGAGAGCCTGTTCTAGCCAAGAGATTGAAAAAATTCAGCCTGAAAATGAAGAAATTTTGGATGGGCTTGAGGGAGAAAACAAGTTATGATAGGAAATATACACTTAAAATTCCTCCTGTCTTTCTGAGGTTGGGAAGGAGAATTAAAAATGTGTATGAGAGAAGCAGGCAAAGTTGTTACACTGGTGGAGAGATCAGAAGAACCCAAAGTGAAGAGTGCTGCAGAAGAGCCAGAAGCTGAGCTGAAAGCAAGATGGGTTGAAGCTGCGCTGTCAATGGACAAGAACTAGCAATATTTGCTTTGTTGTTAGATCATAAACTAGAAAGGCAGTCTAGATAAGGTATAGATAGATGTGTTTTTCCCAGGTTATATTCCTATCTTAACTGCTCTTATGGCCAACTGCTAAAATCATTTTAAAAACTGTCCCCCTCAGTAACTACGTACTTCAGTAAATATAACATAGTGCCTTTTGATGCCAAGGTGCTCTGTGCCCCTCACAGTCTGTTCTTTTTAAATCATGGGCTGCCAATGCACTGCAAAAGGAAGTGCATCCTCCCACCTTATTCCTTCCTGTCCCCTCCCCAAAATGTTTCTGGGCTCCATGTAGGCCCAGACAAAAAGAAGGTGGGGCTGCTGGATAAAACCTTTTTGAAAAGTAGGAAAGGATCCTGCTACTACCTAGGGAGCTGCATAGGAGTTGTTTTATTGAAGCAAGTCAGAAAATAAAGATTTTACTTTATGACAGCAGTGAGAACCACAGGAGGAATTATGTTTAAATATTTGTTTGCCTCTGGTCTTTCATATGGTACTGCAGTCCCTACTGTCATAGACCTGTATTATTATAAAAATATATATCCATAACTTACATTCTTTCTGCAACAGGTTCAGAAAGCAGATGCATGAATCAGTCAGAGATAGAGTAAAACAAAATTAATTTACAGTATCTATATTAATTAGATAGTACACATCACACAGAAAATGAATCCCTCTAATTCTGTGCAATTTTTAAAAAAATAAAAACTCTCCTTAATGAAGAAAACTGTTTTTTGAAGATTTGCATATATTTTACACTTCCTGTCTCAGAAAGAGCACCACTCTTGCTTAATGAACCTCTTCAAAGAATAAACCAAGTAAAACAGAGTTAGCTGTCGCCATCCAGACAGCTAAATATTCTGATATGTGAGCAGAACATACATACAGGATTCTGTATCAAACTGCACTCATCATAGTTCACCTATGACATTAGTCTGTTGTTGCCCATGGCAGGTTGGCTAACATTGCAAGATGTTTCTCTTTTTACACTAAAATCCTTATTTATTTATGGTATTTGTTAAACACCTCATAAATAGATTTCTCTAAACACTGTATCCCCATTCTGAGATGCACACCTTAATATGATGAGGGAGTTTCAAAGTGTCAGAGAAGCAGAGTAATGCCACCAAGACACCAGGCTGACTCACGGAGCTAGTCTCCTATCAGGGTCACTCAAGGTGGAATGTTCAGAATGGAGACACCAGACTAAGATGCATCCATTAGAGATAATGGATATCTCTAATGAAGATGGGGTGGAGAAACTCCTGAAAGGCAGATACTGGGCAGCAGTGGCAGCTGAAGAGACACTGGCAGAGGGTATTTGCAGGTCACAAGGCTCAAGCCAACACTGATTCGTACTGCCCAGAAGAAGGCAATTCATACTTCTGAATCTTATTACCTGAAAAACCCCTGTGTTGAAACAATACAAAATGAAACAAATGATAGTGACAGAAGATGAGACCTCCGGGTTGGAAAGCACTCAACAAGCTACAGGGAAGGGCAAGACACAAGTATGGATAGTGCTGCAGCTAATGACCCAACTAGAGCAAAGCTGAAAGAAAGTCTAGGAGCTGATAGCCACAGAGGTTAAAAGAAAGTTTTGCACAACATATACAACTGGAATATGAAACATGAGAAGTATGAATCAAGGCAAACTGGAAATCATAAAGCAGGAAAATGAATGGTTAACTATCCCAATATTTGGTGTGAGTGAGCTAAAGTGGACAGGTATGGGATATTTTCAATCAGACAAAGTGTTTTACTCTAGAGATGACGAATTCAAAAGAAATGGAATAGCTCTAATACAGAGATAAGATGTGGCACAGGCAGTATGGGACTATAATGCAAAGTCCGACTGAATAATATCAATCAAAATTAGTGGAAAACCTATCAACATAGCCATCATTCAAGTCTATGCTCCAACAACAGATGGTGAAGAGGAAGATACTGAAAACTTTAATGCAGGTGTTCAAGAGGAAATTGGTAACACACCAAAATAAGTTATGTTGCCAATCTTAGGTGACTGGACCCCAAAGTAGGAAACAAAGCAGAATCAAATATTGCAGAGCAATTTGGCCTAGGGATCAGTAATGAAGCAGAAGAATGACTCATAGAATTCTCTGAAACCAGCAATCTGTTTAACTCAAATATATACTTCAACCAACCAGTTAAGCGATTATATATACAGCTATCATCAAATGGATAATACAGAAATCAAATACACTATGTCCCTGGAAGCAGAGGGTGGAGAAGCTGTATTTTGCTGCTAAAATATGACTAGGAGCAGAATGCAAGGTGACCATAAACTCTTATTATCAAAATTCAGAGTCAAGTTGAAAAAGATCAGCAACAAAAACAATGTACCAAAATACAACTTCAATAAAATACTTCAATAAAAGTATTTTAGAGCAGTGAGCTACCGTTGAAAAAAATCCCCCTCCTGTAATCAACCTCCAAGCTACAGAATGAGAGCATACCTGAAGTGCTTCCAATTGGCAAGTTCATATAGCAGAAGGCATTCCATTACCTACTGAGTTATTAATTTGTACAGATCTTTACAAGTCAAAATTATTGGGCCAAGGAGCTCATGTAGCTATTAAACAGTGTGATACGGAAGCTGCCAGAAGATGAAGAAGAATCAACAAGACTGCATTCTCACCTCCAGTTTCCTCCAAAAGGAGAAGAAATAAGTACTATTTCAGAGTCACAAGCATCCTGAAATAGCACTGAAACTGACTCAAAGGACTCCATCTCATCCAAGAAAGTCTAGATCAGGTTACCCAAATGATAGGAAAAGAGCATTTACCGCTGGCCTATAATTATTTAGATTTTCTGTGTATCCCCAGGGCCCGTGGAATGAAATTTATCCACAGGACCAAGGAGTTCTTAACAGCTCCATGGACTGACCAATACCAATTCAGCAATATCATTCATCCGTGCACCTGCAGGATCATATCAAGTTCCATCTTCTAATACAGCCTTGCCCAACCTAGGCTACAGTGTCCAATATTCATAACCATAAACATGGTTGAGACAGTTAGGACTGATGCAAGTTGACATCTGGTTGGCATAAGACTGAGAAAGGTTGTGCTAATCCATCCCAGCATGGATCCCAGCACTAGCTAGCCAATCAAAAATTGTGTAATGTTCTACCCATAAATTGCATCTTCTTCCGATTAACGCCAAGGCCACAGACAAACAAATCTCCACAGTAAGGTTAGCCAGTTTGTAACTCACACACTGCATATTACATCAGAAGCAATTTGTTCTGCTATTGAAAACTTGTTTGTACCAGTATTGATATTGAAGTTCAGGACACATCCGAATGGCATATGCTATGTCTATGTTCCAAAATATACATGCTAGAAAAGTAGTTTCTATATTGTGTGTGTGTGTCTTTGTGTACTTAAACATATCTGGATGATCAAGTTTTGGAAAATATTTTAAACCAGCGAATCACTATGTGAGGAACTAGACAGCACACAGATAAGACTCACATATTCCAAGGTTGCAGTACATTTCTAGATACAATGCACCTCTTTAAGGGCATGCTGTACTCCACAACATTATCACCAAAAAGAATGGTGATCATTCCACCTATGGTGAAAAGATACAGAGATACTGGATGCTCTACAGGGGAGCTAAATGGGTAGTCTGAGCCACTGATGTCTGTAGCCACAGAGGAGCAAACTACATGAGATGCCTTTCATACAAACAGCAATTGAGCGAAGAGCTTATTTTTTAAAAAATAGTAGCATTCAGCCCTTGGCATGGAGAAAGCCTTTTTCCACCACATCTAGGACCCTGATACAGATCTATTCCCCTGCAAGTTCCCATTTGCACTAAATGAACCATTGTTCCCAATGCAAACACCAGTCATCTGTGGGAAGGGAATCCAGTTTGGGGCTGCAATAGTGGAATAAGACATAAACTCTGCCCTTCATCATGTAAGATTTCAACTGAATTCTGTGCATATACCATTTAATTTTTAAAAGTCATTCTTGTTTAGCTTGGCCTAGAGAATAATGTTGGCTTGCATACAACGCCACCACTTCACCTGTCTCCCCCACCAAGATGACTAGGTTTTGATTTTTTGGTTATATCACAATATGCTAGAATGGGTTACCAGCCTCCTGATGTTATCTAGTGCTGGTTTCACAGAAAGGCCCAGTTTATATGACACAACCTGTGGTTTCCTGTTGGGTTATTTCTCTGGCTTAACTGGGGGAAAGACAAGCCAGAGTTCCTGGTGTGGGGTTGTTAGGATATGCAAACCTGGGGGCAATCTCTCTCAATTTTAGATTCAGAACAAAAAACGTCCTGTAGACACTTGAGGTAGAAAGACTGTTGAGGGATTAAGGAGCTAAGCAAATTGTTGAGGTTAAGCAAATCTAGGCCTGCTCAGTGCTCAAACAGGAAACTACTTGGAATATTAGGTATGCTTCCTGGAAGAAAAGTGTTACACGTTATATAAATGCTGCATTTCATAAACAAAAAGCATTTTAATTAGGAAGAAAAATAATGAAGCATGTCGGGCCAAAGAATAATTTATATAATACATTAATATCATAATCAACCAAGTTAAAATGCCTACAATTCAGCCACTACCACTACAAGCACAAGTTTAATTCTATAACTTGCACTAACCTTCCTAATGGAATGTCACTGCTTGTTCTCTTGCTCATTTTGTTGTTTGCTTGCAACGTTTTAACATTACTACACTGCAGCACTCTTTAATTTACATAACAGTATCCCTAAACAGTGGAACTTTTGTACATATGACAGCATGACAACTGCTTTTCGAGCTGTAAGGGGAAAAAGAAAAGAACAGAAAGCATAATTAGGCATATCACTTAAATAGTTATTACCTATGGCATTTTAACCTCTATATTAAACTGTTCCCTAAAGTGAACTTGATAATAAAAACTAAAATAACTTCCAAATGTCTAAACGCTGATTGGGATTCAGAAATGCTATTTCTTCTGAATTGCCCATTTCTTACTTTCTAATAACTATATTCTCAGTGGTGTTCTTGAAGAAGCAAAACTTGCAGCTAGATGAAAGCTATTAAATCTGAAAAATAATTACAGTCCTTCACAAAAATAGAATTTTTGCCTATGACAAAGCAAAGACTGCTTGATTTGCAGAAGGTCCTGTAAGAGAAGCAGTCTAGATAAGACAGAGGGCACAGCCACTTGAGCATTTAGTGCACTATATTTGGTATACTGTAAATAGCACAGGCTTGAGTGGGTGTGCATAGTGGCAGCTGAGATCACAGAATACAGCCAGCTGCACTACTTTTGTTGCACTGGACAAAGAGAGATTATATAGCCCAACTCAGTATTCTACTACTATATTCAAATAGGAGCAATGAAGGCATTGGTATGTACCTACTTCCCTAAGGAGATTAAGCCCATGTTGAGATTCCTAGAGATAGAATGGAATGGGTAAAGAAGAGAATGTGTAGGGAGGATGGACACCAGGTGAGAGTAAGTATGTTAAATCCAGGGCCACCCTGGCAGTCACTGAAGGAAACCCACACAATCCGCATTGTGTAAGCCTTGTACTGAAGTCACTGAAGGAAACCCACACAATCTGCATTGTGTAAGCCTTGTATATCAATTTGTGTATTAGGCAGAAATGCTTCTAGGCTATATTTGCAAAAAAACACCGTGCCACCTTTCTGGAAATTTCTGGACTACTGTTCACAAGTAGGACATGGATTATGTCGCTGAAGCCCTCTATCTGGCTCCTCCCAGCATTGGGCATGAACAAGCAAACCCTATGTTTTCTTTTGCTGGCATGTTCATTATTTGTTTAATTCCTACCACTGGAAGAAGGAGTCAAACAGAAGTATTCAAGCAATTTGCATGAGCACGCAAATTATGAATGAGAAATCCATCTTCTCCAGAATTCTGGTGTATTGTTTTATGTAAACGTGGCTTGCACTGTCGGGACTTGACATGTTGAAGAAGCACCTCATCCCCCAAACCAAAGCTGATTGGATAAACCCAATGAAATAATGCCCAAATAGAGAAGCAGGGGTGGTCTGGATGCAATAATAAAAGTTGGCACAATAGGAAATGTGAGGAATGTCAGCCCTGTAAAAAATGGTTTAAGTAAAAGCTAATGAAGTATCAGGAACTGGACATATTGGATCAGAAGAGCCAATCTGATGGCAATAAGTAAGGGAGAAAACAGTGACAATCTACTCACGGGACTGTTTCAGCACATGCAATAACTCTTGTCCACACAGACCCACAAATGCTTCTGCCGAGTCAATGCAACTTCTGGCAAATATGCAGAATTCAGCTTTGGGCAAAGAAGATTCCAAATGTTGTTAACCAAGCATTAAAGCAGTGGAGTGTCTGACTCTCAAACTGGCATGGCAATATATTCACTATCTCAACTCCATTTGGACACACTTTGAAATGACTGTGTGACTCAGGGCACAATCAAAACTTGGCATGTTTGGGCACCTGTGGCAGCCTCATACCCCAGCAGTGACAAAAGCATCATATATTTCTTCTCTTGTTTACCATCATGACCTGCCTATTTCCCTGCCTATTGCTTTGACTCAAGCAACAGTAGTGGTTGGTGAGAAGGGGACACCACCTTCTTGTTGACAGGCTCACCTCTTGTAAAGCAAGCAAGCAGCTGCAGTGAGAGGAAAGGGGTTAAAGAACAATAGCAGTGGATGACAATACTGGAGAAGGTAGAGTCTCTGAAATATGGGGCTGGTTGAGGAAGTCCAGCCCAAAGGAGCTCAAACACCTGGATCTAGCATAGGAAACAGATCTTAAGTAAAGAAAGGAGGCACAAGAGGTAGCAAGGCAATCATAAAAGCCCTGATGGACCATGCCAGTCCATCTAGCCCTGCATCTTGCTTTGCTCAGAAGCGCCATGAGAACTCAGGCAACTCTTGCCACCGACTGGCAACCGATGTTCAGTGACACACTGTCCCTAAACATGGAAGCTCCACTCATAGCAAAACTGAAGCGGAGAGGAAAGAATTATGGACCAAATAAATAAATAAATAAATTTTTAAAAAAGTTGGGGGGGAAGGTGCGATAAGTCAGTGGGGAAATCGGGAGGGGATGATCCGGTCATGACTGTGAGGACAACTCACAGGGTAATAACGATGGCAGTGGGGGTAGGGAGGTGAGGCAATAGGGTAAAAGGAACTCGGCAGCAGCGTCTGTGGGGGATGGGGTCAAAGGACAGGGAAAAGAAACCCCTAAAACCTCAGCGCACATTTAGCTGGATTCAGGCACTTGGGGCAGGATAAAGCCAGTGTGGGGGCTGCTAGGAGATCTCCAGTTCCGCCCCTCTGCAAGTGCTGAGAGGAGGAGAAGGCCCCAAACCAACGCTCTCTACAGTTCTCACCCTGAGGCCAGCGAAGAAACGACTGCCTGGTCCCGCGTATCCGCTCCGTTGCTCCTGCAGGGCCGTTAGAGGCGGGGCATCAAAGCAGCTCGGAGCACCTTTAGCTACACAGTCCGGAACGGAAGGGAAAAAGCAAAAACAAAAGGACAAACGACCGTAGTTGTCCCATTGCGCCGCCGTACTCGGCGGCGAGGAACGCAACGCGATACGTCGCGTAACCGAAGAAGGGCGGAAAGGGGGAATTGAATGTGTTGCGGCCATCATTACCATGGGCAACGCTCTCTTCTGGTTGGGGGAACGTCAGCCCATGTCTTCCCTTCTGCGCACAACGATGTGCGAGCTTGGTCTGCCGGAGGAGCCCGCCTGCTGTCTTGGAAGGAGGGAGCGTTGGTTCATTGTTGCTTGCATAATGGTTAGGTTCAGCTTGCTCCAATAAATAAATAAATGAAAAGACAAAAATAAATTGCCTTAGCTACGGACGCTGGGGAGAGTCAGGACCTAGAACAGTCAGGCTGAAAAAGGTAAAAGCCGTGCTGGCCATGAGAAAATGTCCCAGACTCAGTTGTTACCTTTATTCAGATTAAACAAACAGGCAGAAAATTGTGGGCAAGCTTTCGAAATATTCAGGGTTCTTCATAAGATAGGCTGTTATGATCCTAGCTGATGAAGCGGGCGTGCGGGAGACGGAAGAAGGGTTTAAGTAAGCCTTTTGATCTTACGGTCTTAAACTGTCAAAAAAAGCACTGCCTACGACAGTGGTTCGTGAAACACATGCATGTTTTCCTTCTAGATACTTCTGATGTGCTTGTATAGTCAGTGCTTTTTTTTGTCATAGAACGCACTGGAACGGAGTTCCGGCACCTTTTTTCGACAGATTTTCCCGGTTTTAAAAGTAACTTTTGAAAATTTGATGTTTGGTCCACGTGGATTTGAATCGTCCTGTTGAGCGTAGCAGGTCGGCGGCAAAATCATTAAAACGGTGCGTATGGGCTGCTTGTGTGTCGAATCCGATGCATGAGTACTTTGTCCGCGCTTACTGAGGGCAGCAACTGTTATGTTTCATTACACAACTGACGTGTGTGGGTGTGTGTACAGTGACTACGTGCGAAAGATAAATAATTTCATGAGTTCTGGCATCATTTTTCTTACAAAAAAAGCACTGTGTATATTTATAGATTTTCTGTCTTTTTTTTAATTCCTTATCAGATAATGCTAGACACTGCAGTATTCCTCGGGGAGACTGGGGACATCTTGCATATGTTTGCACATGCCTGTTTTAGGATTGTTGTTACATGCCCTCCAAAATACATCCCTGTATTAGCCTGCTGAGGCTTGTTCCCCCACTGTACCACCAAGTGAGATACAAGAAATGAAGGCTGGGGAGAGACACTTTTTGGCACTGTAGTGGTAAAGTTGAAATAACTTAAGATTCTGGACAAAAGTCTTACAGTCACACTATTATCATCATTAGATGGTACTTTGAAGTAGTCCACTTCAAAACTTATAGTAAGACAACTCTGCTGTTTTTGGTGCCATCCTGTTCATTCAGCTGAGCTTGGCCTTGAACTTCTGCCCCAAAGGCCTCCCCTGACAGTTTTACTGAGTGTTATTGTCCTATTTGTGGAATACACCCCCCACCTGCCCCCAGCCCATTTAAGACCTTTCAACACTTAGGCAATTGGTTTCTTACCCTGCTTTACCTGCTGTTTTTTGTTTGCTATATTGTTTTGACATGATTTCATTTCTATACTGCCAAACAGCTGAAGTTCTCTCCATGGTTTACAATGGTTGTAAATGTATCTTCATTACACATAAAATGTCTTGGTCAATTTTGCTTGAAGGGTAGGATAAAAGCTATTAAACTTGAAACTTTTACTAAGCCAGAATAGTTAAATGTTCAGATGTATGTCTGAGCCCCAGAAATGTCACCAAATTTCTCTGCCTCCTCCCCATGTGCTAATAAAAAGTCAGTATAGCAGACATTACATTAGTTCACACCCACATATCAATAGCATGCATAAACAAAGAAGAATATGAAGTGCTGTTATATGCCTTCAACATGTCTCTGACTTATGGTTCCCTATAAATGAATGCCTTCCATACTGTCCTGTCCTTGACAGCCCTGCTCAGCTCTTGTAAATTCAAGCCTGTGGCTTCCTTTGTGGAATTGATTCACCTCATGGAAATATGAAGTACAGTTGGCATTATTGTAACATATGAAAGAAAATAATACAAAGTCCTCTCAGAGGACATTTTATTTACCAATGCAGTTCAAACGTTTGCACTGGTATATGTGCTTGTAGGGCAAATGACATATTTCTGATCTACCAAATAATGTAATGATTGATGATCTTGCAATGATTCTGTATTCAACAATCCTATGGCAAACATTCATTTTCCAGCCCAGTTTCAGTATGGTTTGCAATATTATTAACACATTGGATGCAATCTTATGAGACATTCTTGAGCGTAAGTTCCATGGAATTCAGTGGGACTACCTGAGGAAATATACATAAGATTGTATTTTGAAGTCCACCAAACTCCAGTATTTTAAAAGTCTACTATGAAAGAAAGACATTGGAAACATAGAAATGGAAATTAAATAAAAACATTTACTTGCAAAAATACATATTAGCAATGAGAAGAAAGTGTACTTTAAGGCACAATCCTAGGCAAGTTTAGAGAGAAAAATGGCCTACAACTCCTTTTTTTCCTGTCCAGACTTGCATCAGATTGCTCTCTCAGTAGATCTTGAAGGCTACAATCAAACACACTTGCCTGGGAGTAAGTCTTGGTGAGCACAGTGGAGCTTATTTCTGAGTAAGCATGCACAGGCTTTCATTGTACACCCTGTACTTAGAGTCATACATTTACATAAGTGTGCTCATTATTGAGATGTGATTTTTATGGCTAAGTATTGCAATGGTAATAATTGTACAAGTATCAAAAGTAATGAGCAACCTTATTTTCAATAATTTTTCAAGTGCATTATAAATATAAAACATTCAGACCTACACTTTTATATATTAATTATACATATATTATAATAATATATAAATGCTATGATCCAGATTTACTTTTAATTTATGGCATACTAGTGCAACTGGTAAACCCAGATGGATATTTAGGTACATCCCCCATCAACTTCTTACAAATTAATCAGGAATTGGATGTATTTTGGGGGCAGATGAATATTTGCATCAGCTGTGTACAGGGATCTAGTTAAACCTAGCCTTGAATATTTTATTTATTTATTCATAACATTTTTATGCTGCACCCATCACACAAAGCCTCAGGGCAGCTTACAAGGCTGATAAAATACAGAATACGATAACATTAAAAATTCAGAGTATCTCGGCCGTAATTTAAAATATTGTGTCCTGTTCTGGACACTACACTACTAGAAGAATTCAGATAAACTGGAGCAAGTTCAAAGAAAGGCATTGAAGATAAGGGGACTACAGACTAAATCCTATAAGGAAAGACTGAATTAATTAGGTAGGTTTAACCTTGAGGAAAGGTGACTGAGGTACAACTCATTCCATGTCTTCTAAGATTGTAGGACATGGAATAATGGGCTTATATTTCAAGAAGGCAGATTTTAGTTGAATATCATTAAAACATTCCTAACAGTCAGAAAATGGATCCAATTGCCTGAGGAGGTGGTGGGCTCTTTGTTGCTGGAGGTATTCAAGCAGAGGCTGGACAGCCCTTTGTCAGGGATGCTTTAAACTGGATTCCTGCACTGAGCAAGGGCTGGAAAGGGTGGTCTAAATCATGGTTGTGCAACTCATGGCCCACAGGTGCATGTAGCTGCCGGCCCTGTTCCTTTCCATTTTAAAAAGAGAACTATATAATTAAACAAAGTTGTCTGTAGTGGCTATGGAGTACACAAATGTCCAATTTCATTATGTTTACAGGCTAAATTTCACTCCTGTGGTACTCTGTAGTGTTTTGTTATGCTCTTAAGTTGTCTCTGACTTATGGTTACCCTGTGATTGAAACCCTTTCAAAATGATCTATGTATGACAGGCTTGCTCAACACTTGTAAACTCAAGGCTGTGGCTCATATTTGGTCATCCTTTTCTTCTTCTGCGCTCAACTTTCCCTGCCATCCCAAAAGCTTACATTTAGCTTGAAAACAAGCTAAATTTAGTCACTGCAGATCACCACTGAATTTTGGCAGACAACTGCAATTTTGAGTGCGATATTTGGATTGAGATTTTGTCCCATGGACTGTGTAGCACGCTGTCAATTACGGTGCACACTGAGACCATAAAGGGTGAAAATAAAGCACATAACTCCAGAAGTTGCTCACTCCAGTTCTAAACAGTCCCTTCTAATGCTGTGACTCTTTCTCCTATGCTGATCAGGGTAACTTACTTAAGGCTTGAATTCTAAGCACAGTTATTAGGGACCAAACCTTACAGAACACAGTGGGGCTTATTTCTTAGTCAACATGGTTAGGAATGTATAGTCAATAAAATGAATGATTACTGTAAATCTTTTCTCACATAGTACCACGTGAAACTGCTGAAAGGTTTTTCTGATTAGGTGGTTGGAGTTCACTGAAAGGAAGGTAATTAAATTCATCTGATTTTTTTCAGCAATCAATTTTGTGCATAAGACACTCAACATATAGATTTCACTTTATAATATAAAAGTGAACATGACAGCCTTTTGCATGTACTGCAAAGGCAAAGGAGTGATTAGAAAAGAACGTATTAAATTCCATCTAAATTTGATACATATTTATCACATGGCAATATGTATCTCCTTAAAAAGTTGCTAGACCATACCAGGTTTTACAAACCCAGTGTCTGTGCATACTATCTCATTCATTTGTTTGTAGTTATCTATAATCTGTGTAGCCTGAAAGTAAACCAATTATTTTCCTGTTTAGAAAGCTACATTACCAATTGATAAAGGTTAAGCCTGACATAGGCAGCTTTGCTTGAGCAGTCTGGCTGGATCCATATTAGGTTATTCATTCTTAAGGTAGTCATGATTAATTTCTCCCATTGATTTTAATGGAAGTCAAGCATGAAAAACAGGTTGGATCCAACCAAAAGGCAACAAGTAATAAATTAAGGTTGAACTCTGTACACAGTTTCTTGGGCATAAGAGTGCAACTCAGAGAATTTTTGAGCCAGCATATATAGGACTGTGTATAAGAGCACTGTGGATTCCATAGTGGGCAGTAGTGGCAGCAGCTAAGGAACTGTGACCCATTTGCATTGGCAACAGACAGCTCGCTGCACGATGGATGGAGGAGATCTCAACTTGCCTCACAGAAGAGCAAGCCCTAGCCTTACAACTGTTACGCATCTCAAGATTTGCAGTTTTCAGGACTGGGTCAATAATACTGGACCAAAGACCTATTGCAGTTAGTTACATCTAATAATATGCAAACATACCTCTACTGTACTTGAAAGGTAACTACACAGCAAGTTCACCTTGTAGGTTACCTTTCCAGCTAGTCAAGAAGGTGCTACTGCAGTGCTATAAGCATGTTACAATTCCCCTTTCCTATCCAAAGGAAGGATGACTGATGAAAACACAATGCATTTGGTGAAATTTCAAAAGCTTTGTGCAGAGGGTTTCTATGTTTGGTTGGTTTTTTTTGGTTATGTTCAATTCTTTATAGTGCTGGTGCTTTGGCTTAAATAATGCCTGCTTTTGCAATACTTATGTAAACAAATGCTACCCTGTTTACTCCATTTTGCAGTTTAAAAAGCATAAGGCAGAAGATGAACAAGTGTAGTTTTCCACATTAAAAAAACCTTCATTCATAATTTACATGGACCCAGGAATGGCAGAGTTCAAAAAGTGAAAACCTTGTAGTACAGCAAGTACAGATACTTATCTCAAAAAAGTGCTTTGGATTTTAACATAAACAAAATAGTCAAAATATTGCACTATTTCATTATAATATAGCACTGGTAATATTTTCAAGTTCATGCTATAAATGCAGGCACATTATTACAAGTTCATATGATGTTTTGGTTTAGTTGTTGTTGTTGTGCCACGACACTTCAGCTTAATTCTCTAATGACAGTTTTGCTTAGTTGGGTTTTCTCATACAGACTTGACAGCGACTGATTATTTTTTCCAATTCTCCAGCTTTCAGAGTCTGTGGTAATGGTTTCCTTAAAAAGAAACAAACAATATAATAACCGAAGAGAATGCAAGTTTCTTATTCTGAAAATGAGGCTGATAAGTAGTAATTAAAACAGAGGCAGAAGTCAATAATAACCAAATGGTTGTAACATAATTAACTTGGGCTCATAAGGGCAGACATTTAGCAAAGCATAAATATTTATGGGCTTATATATTAGCAATGTATGAACATGCCCTATCAGTCAAATGGTGGGGGGAACAGGAAAGGGTTATTATAGTTAAGAAATCTGCATCTATGAAATCTGGCTGAAAGACAGTAATATAATCTCTGCATTCTACATCAAAACGTATTGAATTGCCCTACCAATGAGTAGTGCATACTACATGCTAATAAGGGTATAGGCACCAAACAAATGCTCTAATTATGTAAGTTGCTACATTCTAGCACTGACTCACAGGATCCCACATTATTAATCCAAATGCTGTCATAAAGGATCACTTGCTCCCTTTGTGCTAGTGCTGCATGACACAAGTGTCATTTGCGCTCTGGCCCTGCATTTATACAGCTCTGGAAGGACAGAGGGGTCTTGCAGATAGAAATGGATCTATTTTCAGTGTTGATACAAATGGGACAGTTGTTGCTTTTATGGAGTTTCTGGCAGTACTGTAACTTCTTAATGTCAACTTGTCTATTCTGCAGTAACTGAAAGTTGCTATGTGGTTCACAGGCAAAGCAATGCTAATTAGTATACCTGAACATTCTTCTTGGATTCAGTGAAGCCAGCCAGAAGCTGTACGAGTTTGAGTAATAATTGCATGTCCCTCGACCATGACATTCAATAAATGGAATGGCATAAAATTTCTCTAAGCATGACCCTGGAGATGCCAGCATTTGTCCAGAGGCTTCCGAGCCTGCTCCTGTATACTGGAAGAAGAAATGTATTCCATGAAAACCTGCTCAGTATTCATTCTTTGCCTCAAACAAATGCCAATTAAAACACATTTTAAGGTATTCGTATTGGAGTTAATTGTTTCCCAGAGCATGGATGCTGTGAAGAGGTGTCACAAGATCATCATCATCAAATTGCATTTATAGCCAATCTTTGGTCTTCTTGTGAGGTGGTTTACATAACTTCATTTTGCTCTTCAGTAATTGTTCTGAACTTTAAGAACTGATTTTTCCCCTTGCCACCATATTACTACCCCAGTGGTAGAATCCAGTGTGACACCTCTGCTAAAGTAGATTGCACTGTGCTTGCTGGCAGAGTGAATTTTGCAAGGAAACCCTTTACACCAACAGGCCCTATTTTCATTGTGCTAAAAGTTGTTTAGAGTAACACAGCTTAATTTATGTTAGCAGCCCTGTCGCATCGGCTACTTCTCCAAAAGTGCTGTAACAGCTTTTATTTTTCTTTCTTACCATAACAAAAGAAAAACCTTTCCAAAGGGACTGCCATCCTTGAGGGCATGGTGGAACTGAAGCTGTTTGGCTGTGGACTGCTATAATCATGGCAGGACCTTCACAGACAGAACACCTACAAGATCACATATAAAAGTATTAGGTGAAAAATAGCCCTTAAGAAAGGGGCAAACACATCATAGCCTACAAGGTGACTTTAAGGCCCTGAAGAATGTTGCTCATTCACCATCTCTCCTGTATTTGCCTTTAATAATGGCGGGCAGCAGCATCCAGTTGGGCAACTGAATGTCTTTTGGAGTGGAGTGTGCTTCTGCTCTATGAGCATGCTTGTCCCTCAGCCTGGCAAAGGTCACATTTCATAGGTGAAAACAAAGTCCACCATATCAGTCAACTAGAAGGAATTTATAGAGATTACATTTGTACACATACATTTTTAAAGTATCTTTTTCTGGTTTGTTGTTGTTGTTAGTCGCAAAGTCATGTCCAACCCATCGTGACCCCATGTACAACATTCCTCCAGTCCTTCGTGTCCTCCACCATCCCCTGGAATCCATTTAAGCTCACGCTGACTGCTTCAGTGACTCCAACTAGCCACCTCATCCTCTGCCATCCCCTTCTTCTTTTGCCATCTATTGTTCCCAACATTAGGCTCTTCTCCAGCGAGTCCTCATTAGGTGGCCAAAGTATTTGAATTTCATCTTCAGGATCTGGCCTTCTAAAGAGCAGTCAGGGTTGATCTCCTCTAGGACTGACCGGTTTGATTGCCCTGCAATCCAAGGGACTCGCAGGAGTCTCCTCCAGCACCACAAGTATTTAACTGTACAACACCACCACACAACTTTCACTTGCTTTGAGCCAATTTTCAATAATTTGTCTTACTAAATGTAATGTGGAGTTTTCAACATTTCATTTTAAATTCCTATTTTGTTTATCTTTCCCGCAAAACAGTGATAGCTAGAGTTTACAAATCTAAGTTTAGTTTTGTTTTGGAAGACAAATTACAATCCGCTGCATGTGTATCAAAACCATCCAACCATCCTATGCACATCCGTGTGGAAATACGATTAGAAGAAAAATCTAGATATTAAAATATTACCTGCTAATATAAGGTTCCAAAGCTTTCCCAGAAATGGGTGCCATGTCTGAAGGCATTGGTTCTGCTGTTGACAACCAATATGAATAGTCATTGCGAGAAGCAAATCTACAAACATTATTGGGATTGCATAATAAAAAGGGCATGGTGGTAAATCTCTGAAGGCAGCTGCCAGCTGTACCTGGAAGAGTCAAAAGAGAAGCTATGCATAGACAATGCTATAAAATCCAGTGTATAGTACCAATCAATAATAAAGCCATAGGTTGTGGGAAACACTGTGATGGGCAGGCAATGCCAGAGAAACTAGCAAAGAGGAAAAAAGTGGAAAATCTATCAAAATGGAAGCAAAAATGTAATTCATGCCATAAAGAGAATTGCCTTGACTAATGGGTGGTATAGAAAAATCAGTCAATCAAGGATCATAATACATTTTAACTGAAAGTCAAAAGCATTTTAAAGGTGTATCTGGTGTACTGTGAAATCATTCCAGCACTGAAATAAAACAAGTATGGCTGTATTACAGGGAGACCTACAGTAAGACTGAATATGCAGAAAATCACCTGGATGCAAGTATTAGAATTTAAGGCAGCAGTAACTATTTCATAATGTTTCTGAAATAACTAGCACACAGGAGCCTAAAATAGTACACAGAGGTGTAAGATTAGTAACTAAAATGGCTACAGAAAAGAAATGCCTCTGCTAATAGCTCTGGCTAATCCTGTCCAAAGGTTCTCATAAAAAACGAATGGTACCTGAAATGGGGCTCCTTCCACAGGGCTGGCCTTACTTAAAATGCAATCCTATGCACACTTACCTGGGAGTGAGTCCCATTGAAAACAGTGGGGCTTTACAGGGCATATGTATAGGATTGCACTGTTAATTATTTAATCTCACCCAGGCAATGAGATATTTGTTTTTTTGCATAGTAAAGTTGTATGGTAGTTCTGTTGAGTAAAAATGTTCCAGTCATAAGCAATAAAGCTATTTGAAACATATGTTTAAAAGAGTACCAAGGTCTTGTCCATGTGCTTGCTCATTCCCCTGTACGAAAAGGAGAGAATAGCCACTATAGATCTGAGTAGTTCCAGGCGGACATGAAGGAATCTTTGCTGACTGGCTGTGCCGAGAAAAAATAAAGCCACTTTTTGCTGGGCCAGAAAAGCAAGGTCCTGGGAAACCAGGAAGTCCTTTTACACCAGGAAAACCAAGCAATCCAGGTAAACCTATGAACAATACAAATAAAGACATAGAAGTTACCTATATTTATGTGTGTCCCTGCCAATGAGAAGAATTCAGCCTATTGCATGATTATTGTAAGGCTAATATAATATTCAAGAAGAAAAGAACTAACTCAAAAACCAACCAACCAGTTAGATAAGGGAAGAAACAACTGGCACTTCCTTAGGTTTGCTAAATCAAAGCAGGAAAAGTAAATATTACGGAGCAATCTGACATGGAATGTTACTTTTTCATTCTTCAGGCCTTTGCACAGTATATAGAAACAGAGCGAGTCAGAAGGGGTCTCCTGGGCCATCTAGTCTGACCCCCAGGTCCAGCTGGCTCCGCTCACGACATGCCCACCATGTGAATGTCTAGCCTATTTTTGAACACCCTCACCAATGGGGCCTCAAGCACCTCCCGTGGAAGCCCATTCCATGCCCTCGGGATCCCAACTATCAGGAAGTGCTTCCTGGCATCTAAATGGAACCTTGGAATATTTTTCAGATTAGGTTCAGTATATTATAGAACATCAACATATTATTACTTCTGCATAACACTACCTATATAATCTTTACAGTACCTTTTTGTCCTTGGAATCCCTTGTCTCCTTTTAATCCAGGTGGCCCAGGTATACCTGGAATCCCAACATGGCCTGGCTGGCCCATTATACCAGGAGGCCCTGGACAAAACATGTTAACATACAATGTAAACACAGCCTTTAAAAAATGGAAGCCACAGAATGCTAGGCATAAAATAAAGGTTTATATCCATTAACTTTTAAAAATAAACTAGAAATACAGATGGCAGAAGTAATTGTTAAGCTGGAGAGATAATAATAATAATTATTATTTTTTTTATTATTATAACATTTCTATGCTGCCCCTTGCCGAAACCTCGGGGCGGCTTACAACATGATAAAATACATTGAAATACAATAGTACATAATAAATTACCGTTAAATACAAAAATACAAAAAATACATTGATTTACAAATATAAAATTAAAATTATCAGTATAAAATAAAAATATAGGAGGAGAAAGAGAAGGAAGAAGAAGTTGCCCTGGCCAGAACATATGTTTTAACAATTGAAATGATGTTTAAATAAAAAGGTCTTTACCTGGCGCCGAAAAACCCGTAACGACGGTGCCAGGCGGACCTCTTTGGGAAGTGAATTCCATAGGTTGGGCGCCACCGCAGAGAAAGCCCTCCTCCGGGTACTTACTCTCCTAATTTCTTTCATGGAGGGTTCCCGGAGAAGGGACTCTCCCGCAGAATTGAATCTAGATGTGGTACAGGGCAGCTCCCAACCACAGAAACCATTGCAAAAGCTACTCTATCAGGGTTGCCAGTGTAAAAAGGAAGCCACAGGAAAGTTTCTCATTGGTGGCATCATCCTCTCAGGCTTGCCGGATACTTCCAGAATGAAGATCAACAGCATGATGACTATACAGTACAATCCCCAGTTGCTATGTGCCCCAGTTGCTGGGGAACATGAGTAGAAGGGTGCTTGTCAAGATCTGAAGCCATGAAGCTTCTCAGCCCCTGGTAATGAACAGCACAACTCATCTTGCAAATGCCGGCATGACCAGGAGCAGACCTGTAAGTACTAGCAATGATTGGAGTTGTCCGATCATGCAGAATACCTGGGAACTCCACAAGTCTCTATAGAAGAATTCCCTGTGCTGCTTAATTTTCCCATGGCAATACTGGCTTTTGTAGTGGCTTCATCATGGTCCTGCTCTCAGTCTTGCTTTGATTCCAGTCTGCTCCTGACTTTGGCCTTGTCTGAGCCTTGCTGTCTCCTGATCTTGTTCTTGCCTCTGGATCTGTCATGCCTTGTTGGTGTTTGGCACTTGTCTGTTTCTGGCTCCCTTTGCTTCTAGGCCTGCTATGCCTTGCTGGCGCCTGACCCTTGCTTGGTCCTGATTACATACTTGCTCCTGGCCCTACTGTTCCATCCACCCTGAGCCTGGCGCTCCAGCTGGGATCACCTTCCAACTACGTCCCGGACCTGACAATCCTATTGCTGTTGTAACCTGCTTGTGAGCTGTTGAAGGTATCTGGCTGGTCACTGCATAAAGAGAATCCTGGGGCTAGGTTAGGCAGGCTTTTGGTTTGATCCAACATAGTTTTTCTTAAAAGCCTTTCTTTTGATTTTATGTACACATGTATAGCTATGGAAGAGAAAAGACTGCTTGTGTTTAGAGAAAGCTAACTGTGAAAATATGTGTGTTCTAAAACATTTCCAAGACTTTTCTCTGTTTCTCCTGGTAGTATCCATGACTGATGTTCAGAATATATGTCATTCTTTCCTTTTGCAGGAAAGCAAAAAACAAACAAACAAACAATGTGTACCTGGTAGCCCAGGTGGTCCTCTTGGGCCTGGATCTCCTTGTTCTCCTGGGCTTCCAGGCAGCCCTGCAGGTCCTGGGCTTCCTGGGAAGGAGATGGCTTTTGCAGGTGGTCCAGGATGACCTAGTAATGAAGACACAAACAATTGGCTAACTTATTTTAAAATCAAAGGGAAAGGTGAATTGAGAGACCCGATTAATTAATTACCAGGTAAGCCCTTTGGCCCTCCAGGCCCTGCAACTCCTGTAGGCCCAGGTGGTCCCCTGTTGCCCTTTTCACCTGAAAAGGAAAATCCAAGAGATTTAGATATGGGTCTGGTTATACTGAGCAGTATCATTATAAAAGGAAACCCATTAGTAATCCATTTTCGTATGGAAACCTATACTAAAAGGAAACCCATTTAGCTAATCTGCGCAATCCTCCAGTGACTAATAGAAATCTTTTACAGTGCATCCTATGCATGTATACTCAGCAGTAGCTGCTTAGAATTCAGTGGGACTTACTCACAAGTAAGTGTGTAAAGCTTTGCAGCATAAGACTGACCCTTGCACTGAGCATTGGGCACAGAAGGCGAAAGCGAGCAAATCGGCTCCAGTGACAGTGGTGAGGAGAGGTAGGTGCACTTGGGGCATCTCGGTATTAACTTGTCCATCTATGTGCAAGAGAAGCCTGTTTGAGGACATAATTCCTGGTGGAAACCAACTTGGCAGATCTGTATTATGATCAGTTCCCAGATTCTCTCCTTTTAGAAAATGTATCAAGATGCATCTTCTTACCTTGGTCTTCTACATTGTTTTTAGCAAGGTTTTCTTGTTTTTAATGTTTCATTGATGGGATTTTATGGTTTTTTCACTGTTTTGATTTGTTGCTTTTTTAATAAAAAAGGCAGAATAAAAATATGATAAAGGTACTTGGCCAACCCCCGAGGTTTCGGCAAGGGGCGGCATAGAAATGTTATAATAATAATAACAACAACAACAACAACACTACCCTCCCTACTGTAGTTTGATCAAAAACTACAAAACCGTTGCAAGAAAATACAACTCTGTGACTGCATTAACTCAAGTCTCTGTTCTATAGAAGAAATGCCATATCAATAGCACCTCAACTTGTACAGCTTCTTCATGGGCAGCATCATGCAACAGGTGACAACATGAATATTTTGAAATTAAATACCTTTTATGCCTGGGAATCCTGGAAAACCAGGTTCACCTCTAGGACCTTGATACCCAGGGATCCCTTCTGTTCCCTACAAGTTGGACAAAAAAAATGGAGCAGTAAGCTTGTGCCAATTCTCTCTCTCTCTCTCTCACACACACACACACCCACCCACCCACCCACCATGTTGGTTGTTCCTAGCATATTCTGGGAGAGAATAGAGGTAGAGAAAAGCAAATCTGGAAATGATCTCAACTTGGAAAGTAGGGGAAACTGTCAAATGGAAGATTCTGTAGGGGAGGATTGGCAGATATGGGAGGACCCAAGCATCCAAAACTTGCACTTGCTGATCAACCCCATTAGGGCTACTCCTTATCCCATCACAAGCCAAACTGGAATCATTTGTTTGCTGAGATGACTTCTAACACCATTCAAACTCTTGCCACTCCTGAAAGCACTAAAGATGCTGTCAGACAAGGGCTCCTTGCACTTCCAGGTTGGAAACCTATTTTGTCCTTTTCTCAACCTTTCTTGAAAGGAAAGAAGATGGAGATAGTGGAAAAACAAGACAGTGTTACAATTGGAATGCAACATCCGGACCTCTTATAAAATTCCATGGTAAAGGCAGGTTGTTTGCAATATTAAAAGCCTCATCTGGAAGCACTCTATCCCTCCTGTGTTTTTAAAGAGTCTGTATCATATGGGAAAACATTGTTTTACCAATTATGTAGTATGGCAAATATACCCCATTAATTTTTCCAGTTGGCTTAACAGCAGCTCAGAAGAAAGGAGACTGCTGAATGGGTTTTAAATGTTGCTTTATACCTGGTTGCCCATATCTTGCTAGAGAAGGTTCATTCACTTGACTCCTGAGCAAGTAAATGGTGTTTTTTGTGAAGGGTAGAAAGCTGAATATTGCTGTAATAGTTGGTGAACAGCTTGCTATTGATAAAATTAGTATCCATTAGGCTAGAATGTAGAAACACCTTCACCACTCACTGAATTGGTAACTATGGCAACAGCCAAATCAGTGAAATCTCCTACAAGTCATATAACAATTACATGCTAATGCTTGATCTCAAGTTATTTTCTCCTGTCCAGATTCTATTATGATTCTTTGGCTGAACAATTCTGCATCTCCAATACAACCTTTAAAAATATTGAATGAATAACTGAGGATGTATATTTCACTTACTGGTGGGCCAGGTAGACCAATATCTCCTCTAGTTCCTGGTGGACCTGGTAAGCCATCTGTTCCTCGAGAACCTTTACTTCCTTTAATACTGTAGCTAGAGGGCCCGGCAGGCCCTGGAATACCAGGAGCACCTATATTTTTAAAAAATCAATTAGTACATTTAGTTGAGAATAGTATTAAATCAGAAATTCTATTCAAAACATTTTAGGGAAAAAACCTCCAAATTTTCTTTAGCAAACCCCAGTATATTACTTGATTTTCTCTTTGGCTGTTTATTCCATGTACATGCCTTGTTTTGACCTCAGGCCTGGCTAGCAACAATTAAGATTACTATCAGCGTTTACTATGCAGCAGAGGAAGAAGCTGGAGGAGATTGCCTGCATTTCTTCATCAAAAACTGGGCGAGGAAAAACTTGGTTCCCATGCGGCTTTTTAAGCACAGACCTAAGGGCCTGTGTGTGGGGTATTTTGGTTAGGTCTGATGCAGGTGCAGGCTTACCCCAGCATGGGAGACTTGAAGGAGAACACAATAAGGGGATTCACTCTTTGAGAATCACATGCTTGCAACTGATTGTGAGTTGGGGATGGGACAAAGTGTTTTAAAAGCCTGTGGGGTTGTCTTGCTCCAGAAACTTCAGTTACTTTAAAACATGGCTGTAAGAGGAATTGGAATTAGGAAATATGATCATACCACTGCTTTGCCATCTTCACTGACCCCCTGGTCCTATTTTCGAGCAAAATCAAGAAGCAGTGTTGACGTTCAAGACCTTTCATTGATTAGGATCAGATTGAAGACTTCAACATTTTCCTTGGAAGCCCTTCTCTAAGTATCTCTGCCAAAAGTGATGTATAGGAGGTACCAATGTCTTTTCATCGATGGTGCCCAGACTGCAGAATGCCCTCCCCAACAGGTTCAACTAGTGAAGATTCAGAAGTCTCAAATATTATCTGGTTAGGACTATGAATAAGCTTGTACAGTAATGGGTTTCCTACCTGGTTCCCCATCTGGACCTTGGGGGCCTCTATTTCCTTTTGGGCCAGCAATTCCTAAGCCTGGTTCTCCTGGAAGTCCTCGTTGTCCAGGTAAACCAGGAGGTCCACTTGGTCCTTGGTCCCCTATAAAACCTTTAACACCTTGTAGTCCTGGAAAACCAGCCATTCCCATATCTCCTTTGATACCTATGCAATATTTAAACCAAATTTAGCTACATTTCCATCATGTTTAACTACATCCAAGATACTTTTAAAGAAAACATGATAACATACTTTCATAATCCTAATGCAAATTGTAGGTGTTATTAGCTTACTCTGAAACTAAGCTTGTCAACAAAAGATTGCACTGTATCCAACACTATTGTTCTGTTTACAAAAGATAAGTTGCACTCAAGGAAGAACCTCACCTTGCTACAACCTATTATTCATGAGCTACAGGAATCACTGGCTAGTGTTACTATAAAGGAACCACAATGCTCTTCTTGTTGCCAGTCCTCTCCCCCAGGGATTACCATCTCATAATTTATCAGCCTGCCTACTGGTGCTCTGCAAGAGTGCCCTTTCCTTCTTTTTGTAACATCAACTTAATTATTGAGCATCCTTATAAAATTTATGCAAGTTGTGCATTATTTCTATAATGCTACTCTGACCACACAGGTTTTTGGTTTGGATGTTTTGATTAAAAATGTTTAAAGCACAACTTGAAATTGCTTAAGATTAACTTTAACAGGACTTGAGAATATGATTATAAACAAAAGAAATTACTGGTTACTGTCAGAATAATAATTCATATTGTAATGCACTGAGCAATATCACTATCAACTGTGAAAGCCCCTTCCAGTTACAGGAGCCTGACAGCTCAAAATGCAAACAATTAAGCAGTAATATCTTACTTTCATTGAAGTAGGTAGGTGTAAACTTATTTCAAGATTTAAAGTCATGAGTTGAGTCAGTTTATTATACCACAAGAAAAATTCTTCAAAACCATTCTTAGCTTAGTAATCTCAAAGTATGAGACTATTGTAAGGGGACATAAAAGGTCAGAAATTCTGTTTGAAGTGGGGGGAAGCATATCAATACAACATAACTTTACCTTTAGGTCCAGGAAGACCTTGAGGGCCAGGAATCTGATCCCCAGGGTGACCTACATGATAAGACATATATAACATATGCAGAACAAGAAAAGGCAGTAGATTAACAGGAATAAACATATGGCTGACCATCATCCTAAATCATCTTGCTGTAAAAGTTCATAACAGTTGTTGCTTTTCTAAATTTATCCAATAATAATCTTCCTTTGCATCTCTTGTAAAAACATTCACTTAAGGCATGATCAATCCTTTGAATGCCTAGTCAAAGGGAAGTCCTACAACCCTCAGTATTAGCCAGCACAGCTAGTTGGGGAATGCTGGGGATTGTAGGACATTTTCTGTCTTAACATGCATATGATTCTGCCCTTAATAAAATATTTACCCATACTTGTCTATACCATTCTATCATGGCTGCCACCTTTTGGAATTCTACATTGCTGCACTATGCTTCCTAACTCATATTACTAGTACAAGGTGTTTTTTCAAATAGCTTAAAAATGAAATCTTAGGAGTACACAAAATCCCATGCCTAGTCTTGTCCCTTACGTTCGGCAATGTTTTCCTCTAACAAACTTGAAGTGGACATAGTTACAAATGATTTAATTGGGAGAGATGTTCACCTGTTGGAATCAATAGAATCAATGCAGATGATTCATGATTTCAGGACTTTTAAAAGCAGCTAATGAATATCTTAGTACCATAAAGTAGTGATCAGAACACTCAGTGCTTGTACGGAAAGTCAGCCAAAATTTTCATAGCTGAGAGATTAATAAGGCTGCAGTCAATAGATGTCCACTGAGTAAATGCACTGAACGCAATGTCCTTCTATGTAGATATGCATAGGATTGTACCGCCAGAATCCTGAATAATATGGACACGATTAAAGGTGAATCCTGAGCATGTTTAGACAAAAAGGTCCTACAGCTCCAAACATGCCCCAGCCTGCCATGCTGGCTGAGGAATACCAGGAATTGTAGGACTACTTTTGCACCCTTCATCAGCAAATACTGTTCAGTGAAGAGAAGGCTGACAAATATACTCCTAGCAGAAGAATAGGCTAATTCTGCAACTGAAAGAAGTAACCTTATTTTGGACAAGTTGTCTAAACTGTGTGTGTATGTTGCTCTCCATTTAAAAAAAAATGGAAAGACCTCATAAAACTTTATTTTTTCTAAGCAGTTAAGTTAAAAAAAATATTTTTCAGCAATATAATAAAACACAATATAAATTCCAGAACACTCCCAAATTAAGATCACATACTGTGATGGAATAAAATAGATTCAAAATAGAATGAAAACCTTGGCTTCCCTTTTCTCCAGGGGGACCAGGAATACCATCACGCCCTTGATTACCCCTTTCACCAACAGGTCCATCATCACCAGGTTGACCAGCTGGACCTGAGGATTATAAAAGTTAAAACTTGTTTTTGCATAACTTCTGACCATGTGGGGAAAAGGGAAACTGCTCATTTTTAATCAGATGGCCACAAATATAATGAAGTGTAGATAATAAGACTAAGTGTAAGGATGTTGTATTGGAGACCAAGGGCAAGAACATCTGAACTATTGCATCTCCATCACAATCTATGGGTGAGAAAGCTGACAAGAAGAAAAGTGATGCATTCCAACATGGTGTTGAAGGAGTGCTGTGCAACACCTGGACTGACAGAAAGACAAACAATTGGGTCATAGGACCAATCAAGCCAAACTTTTCCTAAAAGAAAACTGAGGTTGTCACACTTTGGACACTTTGGCAAGACTCACTGGAGCACATAATCATGTTAAAGAAAGTCAAAGGCAGAAGATGGAAGAAAAGACCAAATGTGAAATGAACTGAATCCATAAAGAAAGCCACAGCCTTAAACTTGGAAGAGCTAAGCAGGGATGTGGTGGATGGGACATTTTGGGGGGCTTTTATGCATAGAGTCACCATAAATCAGGGACAACTTGCTGCAGTCTTAGACTAGACTCTCCAAGATGCTCTACAGGTTTCAGATTACACTTCAGAGATGACTTGACAGCATGCAACATGCACACAAATATTAATAAGCAGAGATAGTCTACTAGAGACAATAAGCAAACTTTCAGAGTTGTCAACCTACCATGATCTGAACTTGTGTGTGTATCTGTCTCCTTGTTTCCCTAAAAAGGGGTTCAGAAACTAGTCTTCTAATTCCCCACCACAACACAATTCTTTTATATCACTCATGTAAATTGAGAATAACTACACTAAAAATTGGACAACTCCCAGTTGTACATTAGCATGAGCATCATTTGAATATCTGGCACACAAAAAATATATCAATAGAGCTGAAGTATATGTTAGTTTTCAGAGTGATATCGAAAATACTTCCAACAGCTCTTCTTTTAGAGGTACTAAACCAAAGTGCAAAACTTTGCTGCATCTATTAACCAAGTTGTGTCCCTCTATAAAGGACATTCTAGACGTATGCAATGATCAGTGCCAAGTTCAAAGTTCGAGGTCCCTTGGGCACTGTGGAGGTCTTTCAAATATGAACCTTCTAACTCATAGTAATTTATTCCCTTCTCCCATGGCAGCAAGAGAAAGTGAACAAGAAGTGAATGTGACTGCTTTGCTGCTGCTAAATTTTGTCACCATCCTATGATAAATGAGAATGTATAAAAGAGCAGGAAGCAGCAAGAATCCAGAGGGAGAAGGAGTTGAGTGAAAGGTAGCAGCAGGAGGCTCTGGTCAGCAATTAACTCCTTACCATAGCCCTACAGGTGTCCAGTCATGTCAATAACTGGCAATGGGCCTGATAACCAGAGACTTTTCCTAAAAGGAATTACTATGTAAGACATAACATACAGTCCATCAAATCAAACTTGCACAGAGCTTTGACAAGCCTATTAGTTTTTGTCCAGGACTGCAAGAATAAAGAAGTATTTATTAAGCCACTTCTTATTAAATAAGTGTTTATTAAGCCAATATAAGGAAGTGGACTATACTTTGTGGATCTCAATTTGCACAGAGTAGCTTACAGCTTAACTGTATTCTTCAGTTTGTATGAGAAGAATGCCAATTCCAGGAAGGAGGTCCACCAATATGAACAGAGAAAAAAAGGGAGTAAGTAAATGGGAAAACCAGTACATGAAAAAAATGTTTTTTCCCCTAGTGAGAAAACCAAAGGAGGGAATGGGAAGACAAAAAAGGACTACAAAGTATTAAAAGTTACATACCTGGGGAGCCTCTGATGCCATTTAGTCCTGGGAATCCTTTGTTACCTTTAATACCATTACTGCCTGCAGGTCCTGATTCTCCTATAAACAGAAGATCACAGCCATCTTTCAGGTATGTTAAAGTAAGGGTCTTTACTCATCTGTGAACATTTGCTCTTCATGCAGCCCCCACGCCCATTAGGTGGGCAGCGCTGAAGCAGCTGTATTCACATACTTTCACTCAATTTGTACATGCTGTCAGGGTTGCGCTCAAGAGCAAACTTGTGGGTGGGGTGGAGGTCAGTGAAGCCATCAGAATTAATACAACCTACTCTAGATCATTGCATAAACACGTGCACAGCTTTGTATCTCTTTTATGCAATGTTTCCCCCCCTGCCCTTCTAATTGGATACTAAGCTGTATTCAAGAAGCGTCCATGTATATTCAGGGACATTTAATGAAAGAACATAATTTAAAATAACATTGTTTATGTAGCATTATACTGTTGCTGAAAGAGGTATCCATCAGACTCCTTTCAAATGCAGGGCACAGGGACAAGACACAAAGAGCTGCAACTGTTTTTAAGATAGTTACTGCCAGTTCTAATGGCAAATAAAGGTCAAGCAGGGAAACTATTGGCACAGAGTCTGAAATATTGCCTGTAGCGCACAGCCCCCATGCTAACCAATACCTCTTCCGTAGGAGAAGCTACCATCTAGGTGTAGTTTCATACTGCACAAAAACTCTTTACTGTAACAGTATTGCATTGGTCCCTTTACCTGGAATTCCTGGTAATCCATTATTCCCTCTGTTTCCAGGTAGTCCAGGTTCTCCTATGAGCCCTTGTTGGCCTGGTGAACCACGTTCACCTTTCCTTCCTCTTTCTCCTGGCAGACCTGGATCACCCTATTAAGTATCAATGGAACACAGTAATACTGTAAATTACAGACCAACATATTAAGCACCCCTCAGTGCTGCTGATTTGGATGACATTTCTATATACCTTGGGTCCTGGGATTCCTGGAGGCCCAATCCCAGGGCATCCTGGTTCTCCTTTATCCCCTGGAATACCGGGAAAGCCCGACGACCCTGATATACCAGATGATCCAGGCAAACCTGAAGAGCCTTTCTCACCTTTAGGACCTGGAGAAACAAACATTGATCTCAAACTATGTGGTGAACAGGTCACTTTCCTCTTTCCCTCCCTCTCAGTAAACTCAAAATGAAACCTTAGAAGTGCAGTTCTTTTATTGAAATAGAACTGCTTGCAGAGCAATATAAATCTGTAGTGTTATCTCTGAGAGGTGGAAGAAGCATCTACTAGTGTAAAATGCTGAATCCAAGCTGGAACTTCTCTTCCCATCCCTTTCACCAAAGCTTCTGGCTCCACCCTCAAGGTGGCTCTTAATGCTTGCAGGCTATATGGTGGGAGTACTACATACTCCATAATTGGTCCGCTTGTTTCGCCTGCCATCTCCTGACAGAGTCAAGGAGTTCTGTTTCTATCACCTCTCTGTGCAGCTCCGCAATGCCTCCCTCTCTTGCCCAGGCAGGCTGGTTCTCTCACTCTGCCTGAGGAACTTCAGTATGTAATGTTGAAACTGCCAAATTTTCTGCCTTTTCGTTAGAATTGGCCAAATCTGTCTGAACAGAGTATAATGTCTACAAACTGGGTATAATATATTTTTAAAATTTTCCAATAAACTTGAGATTTTAAGACTAAAACTCCAAATCAAAACTCAAACCAAATGCTTTTTAAGCACATATAGTGTAGTTATTTTATCTATCTATCTATCTATCTATCTATCTATCTATATCTATAGCATAGTTTATTTATTGTAAGCTGTCCCAAGACGTTCTGTAGGGGATGGATAGAAAAGCTTTTAATAATTAATTAAATAAATAAATAGTTATATATACTGGTTTTATTTACTGTCCTGTAGGGCTACACGAATCTTATGGTCCTGAGTCATACTAAAAGGAGGGCTTAAATTCCCCACAACACCTATTTTCATTCCACAATTTCACTCCCCCTGCCATGGGGATAGTGCAGAAAAAATTAAGTGTCTATTGGAATCAATGGAGATATTTATTCTTTTTAAACCCCATCCATGGTAGAATTTTGAACACAAATCCATGGGAGGATAACTTAAGCCCTTCTATTCCAAATTGCCACATTCCTGATCTGAATTAGGGCCTTGTGCACATGCAGGAGAGTAATAGTTCATTCAAAGCCACTGTACATGCTGTACATGTTAAAGGAACATTAGTTTGGCCCCATGTCATGCAAACATTAAATGATAGCTATGAATAATGTCTTGCAGTCTGACCTCCTGTGTCCCTTCACTCACATGCACACACTCTGCCTTAACAAAAACAGAATTGATGTGATTATACATGCAGAAATTTCACCTGCCTTGTCAGCTACTGTTTTTACAAGCATAGGTTCTCTAAGCAAGTCTCCTATTTCTCTACTGGTCCAACTATCAGAATTAATGGCCAGATTTATCAGCCCTTATTTGTCAAGTATTACCAACCTCATATTGCATTTAATACAGGTTAAGAAAACATTTCATGGATCACTGCCTTGTCGTGGCGAAGGGGCTTGTGTAGCTCAATGAAGCTATGAGCTATGCCGTGCAGGGCCACCCAAGATGGACAGGTCATAGCAGAGAGCTCTGACAAAACGTGATCCACTGGAGAAGGAAATGGCAACCCACTCCAGTATCTTTGCCACAAAAACCCCATGGACAGTACCAAAAAGCAAAAAGATATGATGCTGGAAGATGAGCCCCTCAGGTCGGAAGGTGGCCAATATGCTACTGGGGAAGAGCGGAGGGCTAGTACTAGTAGTGCCAGAAAGAATGAAGCGACTGGTTCAGAGCCGAAAGGACACTCAGTTGCAGATGTACCTGGTGGTGAAAGGAGAGTCTGATGCTGCAAAGATCTATACTCCATAGGAACCTGGAATGTAAGATCCATGAATCAAGGCAAGCTGGACATGGTCAAACAAGAGATGACAAGACTGAACATCGACATCTTAGGAATCAGTGAACTAAAATGGACAGGAATGGGTGACTTTAATTCAGATGACCATCAGGTATACTACTGTGGGCAAGAATCCCTCAGAAGAAATGGAGTAGCCTTCATAGTCAATAAAAGAGTAGGAAAAGCAGTACTGGGATACAATCTCCAAAATGACAGAATGATCTCAGTTCGAATCCAAGGCAAACCATTCAACATCGCAATAGTCCAAGTCTATGCCCCAACCACTGGTGCTGAAGAGGCTGAAGTTGACCAGTTCCATGAAGCCCAACAACACCTTCTAGAATTAACTCCAAAAAATGATGTCCTGATCATCCTGGGGGATTGAAATGCTAAAGTAGGAAGCCAAAAGATAATGGGAATAACAGGCAAGTTTGGCCTTGGAGTACAAAATGAAGCAGGGTACAGGCTGGTAGAATTTTGTCAAGAGAATATGATGGTCATAGCAAACACTCTTTTCCAACAACCCAAGAGACGACTCTACACATGGACATCACCAGACGGTCAACAGAGAAATCAGATTGACTATGTGCTCTGCATTCAAAGATGGAGAAGCTCTATACAGTCAGTAAAAACTAGAACAGGAGCTGACTGTGGCTCAGATCATGAGCTTCTCGTTGCAAAATTTAGACTGAAATTGAAGAAAGTAGGGAAAAGCACCAGGCCACTCAGGTACGACCTAAATCATATCCCTGATGAATATACAATAGAGGTGACAAATAGATTTAAGGAATTAGATCTGATAGACAGAGTGCCTGAAGAACTATGGATGGAGGTTCGCAACATTGTATAAGAGGCAGCAACTAAAACCATCCCAAAGAAAAAGAAATGCAAGAAAGCAAAATGGCTGTCTGAGGAAGCTTTACAAATAGCTGAGGAAAGAAGGGAAGCGAAAGGCAAGGGAGAAAGAGAAAGATATACCCAACTGAATGCAGAATTCCAGAGAATAGCTAGAAGAGATAAGAATGCCTTCTTAAATGAACAGTGCAAAGAAATAGAAGAAAACAATAGAATAGGGAGGACCAGAGATCTCTTCAAGAAAATTGGAGATAAGAAGGGAACGTTTCATGCAAAGATGGGCATAATAAAGGACCAAAATGGCACGGACCTAACAGAGGCAGAAAAGATTAAGAAGAGGTGACAAGATTACACAGAAGAACTATACGAGAAAGAGCTTGTCCCTGATAACCACGATGGGGTGGTCACTGACCTCGAGCCAGACATCCTGGAATGTGAAGTCAAATGGACCTTAGGAAGTCTAAGCAACAACAAAGCTAGTGGAGGCAACAGTATTCCAGCTGAGCTATTCAAAATCCGAAAAGACGATGCAGTAAAAGTGCTACACTCAATATGCCAGCAAATTTGGAAAACTCAACAGTGGCCACAGGATTGGAAAAGGTCAGTTTACATTCCAATCCCAAAGAAGGGCAATGCCAAAGAATGTTCAAACTACCGCACCTTTGCACTCATTTCACATGCTAGCAAAGTTATGCTCAAAATCCTACAAGCTAGGCTCCAGCAGTATGTGGACCGAGAACTACCAGAAGTACAGGCAGGATTTCGAAGAGGGAGAGGAACTAGAGATCAAATTGCCAACAAACGCTGGATCATGGAGAAAGCTCGGGAGTTCCAGAAAGACATCTACTTCTGCTTCATTGACTATGCTAAAGCCTTTGATTGTGTGGATCACAACAAATTGTGGCAAGTTCTTAAGGAGATGGGAGTACCAGACCATCTTATTTGTCTCTTGAGAAACTTATATGCAGGTCAAGAAGAAAAAGTGAGAACTGGACATGGAACCACTGATTGGTTCAAAATTGAGAAAGGAGTTCACCAAGGGTGTATACTGTTGCCCTGCCTATTTAACTTATATGCAGAGCCCATCATGAGAAAGGTGAGGCTGGATGAATCACCAGTTGGAATTAAGATGGGAGAAATATCAACAAGCTCAGATATGCAGATGATACCACTCTCATGGCAGAAAGTGAAGAGGAAGTAAAGAGCCTCTTGATGCGGGTGAAGGAGGAGAGCGCAAAAGTTGACCTGAAACTCAACATTAAGAAAACTAAGATCGTGGCATCTGGTCCTCTCATTTCCTGGCAAACAGATGGGGAAGAAATGGAGGTAGTGACAGATTGTATTTTCCTGGGCTCCAAGATCACCGCAGACGGGGACTGCAACCAAGAAATTAAAAGACGCTTGCTCCTGGGGAGGAAAGCTATGGCGAATCTAGACAGCATACTAAAAAGCAGGGACATCACCCTGCCAACAAAATGCGTATAGTCAAGGCTATGGTTTTCCCAGTTGCAGTGTATGGCTGTGAAAGTTGGACCATAAGGAAGGCTGAGCGCTGAAGGATTGAGGCCTTTGAATTGTGGTGCTGGAGGAGACTCCTGCGAGTCCCTTGGACCGCAAGGCGATCAAACCGGTCAGTCCTGGAGGAGATCAACCCTGACTGCTCTTTAGAAGGCCAGCTCCTGAAGATGAAACTCAAATACTTTGGCCACCTAATGAGAAGGAAGGACTCCCTGGAGAAGAGCCTAATGCTGGGAACAATAGATGACAAAAGAAGGAGGGGACGGCAGAGGATGAGGCAGCTAGATGGAGTCACTGAAGCAGTCAGCGTGAGCCTAAGTGGACTCGGGGGGGTTGGTGGAGGACAGGAAGGCCTGGAGGAATGTTGTCCATGGGGTCACGACGGGTCGGATACCACTTCACAACTAACAACACCAACAACAAAGAAAACATTTCGATTCACAGTCTAAGCAAGGACACCTCCAAGGAAACAACAAACAATAAAACAAGAGTGGGTAGCATGTCCACAGACTGTAGTTTGAATTAATTTAATTTATTATTTTATTTACTGTGCTATTCCATCATTTAAACCAGTACAATCCTATTCTTCACTTATGTCTGATTTGCTGCTGGCAAAATCTTACATGCACAAGAAGAAAATTGTGTTCAGTATTGTCCCCATGATGACCATTTAGATACTTTAGTAAGATCACCTGGCATTCCCATGTCCCCTCTGTCTCCTGGAGCTCCTGGCAGTCCCAGTCCCCCAGGAATTCCTGGAAGTCCTTTCTCTCCTTTGGGACCTGAAAGCATAATCAACATGCACATTGCTCGATGTTTTAGGCATGTTTTAGGCTCAACTGGGACATTTGTCTTTGTTATACTCATCACACTCATGAAAAGAAAAAGAAAAAAAACGTGCTTCTCTGTCATCTGCTCCTGTGGCTGCTTCTACAGTCATTACTTCCTTCTTATTAACAGATTACTACTCCTAGTGCAGCTGCTGTTTCTACTGGGATACAGCAATGCTCAAACATGGGGTCAAATGAAGCAGAGTTATTTGAAGTTTTTCCATGATGTACCACATGCACATAATCAGTCTGTGGCTAGGATTATGCTGGAGGAACTTTGCTGTCTTGAGGCATGGCTGCGTTTGCCATAGAATGATGAGTTACTGAATCACTGGATTTTTTTCAGCATCTTTCCACGCAGCTTACATACTTTTAAGGTATGATTTATAAGGAATACTATATACCTGGTGGAGCAGGTGTTCCTGGCAGCCCATTAGGACCAACGCATCCTTGAGCACCTTGTTCGCCTCTTTCTCCTTTGTCTCCCATTTGGCCTGGAAACCCTAGAGCAGCAAAGGGATAAACTGAACCTTACAAACACCATCACTCTAGTTTCACAATAACAGGAAAATAAAAGGTGTATGTGGAATGGTAAGTCTGAAACCTTATCCCCTACATCAGCCTTCTCCAACATGGTAAACTTCACATATTTTGGACTTCAACTCTCATAATGAATAACCATGAATCTTGGGGGCTGTAGTCCAAAACATCCATAGGTGTCCAGGCTGGGTAAGGCTGTTCACCATTTATGCATCTATTTTAGAACATGTCTGAGCGCAAACACTAAAGTATATTTTCTTCAGATAAAATGAACAGATTAGGTCAGAACGATACATTCTACCTCCGTCACATGTCTCTAAAGTGTGGCCTCTTCTTCCTTTACAAAGTGGATCCAGGAGGATGCCATTTCTGACAGAGCAGTGGTAGGAGGGCACTTAACTCCTCCCTTGACCATCACGTTCCCTCCCCCAGTCTTCCTTCTTCCTGCTAATATTGATAGGGAAGTTGGACTGGAAGAACAGCAGCTGCAGGCATTTGAGGTTGAAGGGGGAAAGTGCACAAGAGAAGCCTTAAGCACCCTTCCATGTTGAAAACTGTGTGCTCCCAGTCTAATTTTACCAGGATTTGAAAGCACAGAGTGAATGTGCATTTTCCTCTGTTAATGTCAACAAAGAAAATTGTAAAGATTAACTCTTTCAGTATGCAGAATACATATATTCTGAGAACTCCACAATTTTTTTTGTTGTAACCTGTCCAGGGAGCCATGTGGCTAATAGGGTAGGTTAGAAATCCAACAAACTTGGCCTTATTAAACATTGAAACATAGAAACAGAGCGAGTCAGAAGGGGCCTCCCGGGCCATCCACTCTGACCCCCAGCTCCAGCTGGCTCCGCTCACGACATGCCCACCATGTGCATGTCCAGCCTATCTTTGAACACTCTCAGCGATGGGGCCTCAACCACCTCCTGGGGAAGCCCATTCCATACCTTCAGGGTCTTAACTGTCAGGAAGTGCTTCCTGGCATCTAAATGGAACCTTGGTTCCCTGAGCTTTGCTCCGTTGGAGCATGTCCTGCCTTCCTCTGCAGGGGAGAACAGGTCTCTACCCATCTGCGTGTGATATCCCTCACATACCTGTATGTCGCCAACATATCCCCTCTGAGTCTCCTCTTCTCCAGGCTGAAGAGACCCAGTTCCCTCAATCTCGCCTCATACGGCATCCCCTCCAAACTGGCCACCAACCTTGTGGCCCTACGCTGCACTCACTCTAACCTGGCTATATCCTTTCTATGATGAGGGGCTCAAAACTGAGCACAATACTCCAGTTGCAGGCGCACCAGAGTTGTATAGAGTGGTAGTATGTGCCCGTCCGCCCCTTGAGATCTGCGGGAGAGGCCCTTCTCCAGGAACCCTCCGTGAAGGATATTAGGAGGGTAAGTACTTGGAGGAGGGCTTTCTCTGCGGGGGCGCCCAATCTATGGAATGCGCTCCCCAGAGAGGTCTGCCTGGCGCCATCATTATTTGTTTTTCAAATATTTGTTATTTGTTTATTCTCTAATCTCTAATTGTATTAATTGTTATTTATATGTTTTAATTATTAATTATGCTGTGAGCCGCCCTGAGGCTTTGTTGCGATGGGAGCGGCATGGAAATGTTTTAAATAAATAAATAAATAAAATAGTAATACCTCTCTCAATCTAGAAGCCACACTTCTGGCTATGCAACCAAGGGTGGCGTTCGCCCTCTTGATCACCACATCACACTGCTGACTCATGTTTAGCCTGCAGTCAACCAGCACCCTGAGGTCCCTTTCACAAGTGCTGCTCTCCAGGCACTTGTCCCCTAACCTGTACTTATGACACCTATTCCTATGCCCCAAGTGCAAGACCTTGCACTTATCCACATTGAACGCCATCCTGTTGTCTCCTGCCCACTTCCAAAGTCTGTTCAGATCCTTTTGGATCTGGAGTACCTGCTCCTCAGTTGCGGCCACTGCTCCAGTTTTAGTATCATCTGCGAATTTGATCAGCAGACTGTTCACCCCTTCTTCCATGTCATTTATGAAAAGATTGAACAGGATGATCCCGATGATTCCCCACTAATGGTTGCCCTCTGCTTTCGGTCAGTCAACCATGCCCTAATCCATCAGACTGTGCTTTGGTGCATCCCAAAACTCCTCAGTTTCTCAACCAGGAAACTAACCCATAACACAGCTACCCCTCTGGAAATAGATTATGTATCCTACAGATTTTAATAGTAGTGATTCTTACATACCTCTAGCTCCTCTGTTTCCTTTATCTCCAAAACTCATTCTGAACTCTGATGTTCCAGGAGAACCTTTATCACCTGGTTCACCTTTTTCCCCTGAATATCCCTTTCTTCCTTTTGGTCCTGGAAAGCCAGGAGAACCTAAAAATTAAATACAGAGCACAATGAATAAATATTTACTACAATATTTACCACAAACTAGCATGAAAGCTTCCTACTTATCTTCATTTGTTTTGTTTTTAATCTCTCTGCAACTGAAGCATGTGCTCTCTCTCTTTTGCTCTCTCTTTCTACAAGCAGTGTTGGAAGAAAATAGGTAACTTTACCTGTTTCTTTTTCATAATTAGAAGAATTAAAGGAATGACCCAAAAGGCAGACAATTAATCAACAAAACATATTCTGGTCCTCCCTATTGACAGGAAATTTCATTTAATGCTTTCACTCACAAACATTTTATTCAGGGAGGCCCACAATATACTGGAATATTTATATTCGTTCAATTGGCCTTTCTAGAAATTTCTGTACTTTAGCTGACTGTGCTACGTATATTATTGCAACAGCCTCAACTAGCAGCCAAAAATAAATCATTCCTGATGAAGTGCCTGATCCTGCCTAATCGTGGAAGCTAGATTCCTGATTAGAATCTAGATGGGAGACTTGAGTCCTGCATTGAGCAGGGGGCTGGAACTGAAGACCTTCTAAGCCCCTTCCAACTGTATGATGGCATATGACCATCATCCACTGGTAAGCCTGTTTGCCTTCAGGTGAGCAGGATCTGTGCTGCTTCTTGGTTTGTTAGGTCATGGGAGAGCACACAAACTGAATGCCCCATAAATGTGGAAGGCGACAAGGGAAAGCCAACAAGCAGGGTAACAGCAAAGCCAAATGCAAACCATTAGCTGCTATACAGTTTTCATGCCAGGAATGAGGGGAACTGCAATTCTATTAATGGTATACTTAAAACTATGACAAACTTAATACCTAGGACTTTTTGGGAAAAACTGTGAGAACTGGGCTGGTTTGAAACCAATAGGCTGTCACAAAACAAGGGTGAATCTATGGGAAGACTTCATGGTTATTTCTACATAGCATTTGTCAATGGAAAAGTACTAAAGTAAGACCATGGGAACATGAAAAGCTCCTGTGATAAGTAAAGCATTGCAACAACATGCATTTTCACAATCCAGTCCATTGAAGTCCTGAAAAATGAAATAGAAATAAGCACTTTTCCCAAATGGGTACAAGAGTTTTCAAGTCAATCTTGAAGAATCCAAGTAAATAATCCTGGTTCTTCCATCCCTAGCACAGAGAAAAAGAAGTACTGTATGACTTACCTCTGCTTCCAGGGATCCCTGGATTTCCAATGATACCAGGAAACCCAGGAATACCTACAATGCCCATCAAGCCTAGCTCACCTCTTGGACCTGTGGGAAGTGAGCAAACAAAAATACTGCATTTAGTATCTACTCATAGAGAATACTGAGTACCTGCTGAAAGGTGATGCATTCCCCATTGCCAGTGTAGGCACCCACACCTAATCTTAATTTTGAAATGGAGCTCCCTCCATTCTGTCACACTTTGTATGTAGCTTTGCATTAAGCTTTGTAGGTTTTGATACCATGCCATTGCATGAATGCATCCATACTGGTGCTATCTATAAAATGTATAAGAAGTAAAAGGGCAATAGTGTGGTAAAGTAATTCTCTTACTCAAGGAGAACTTACCAGGTATACCTGGTTCTCCAGGCCTGCCAGGCTGTCCCCTGATGCCAGGTGATCCTTCATCTCCTTGAAGGCCAGGTAATCCAGGTAACCCAAATTGTCCTGGAAATCCTGGGATATCTAATCCTGGAATACCTGGATCTCCTTTGGCTCCCAATAATCCTGTAGCTCCTGAGGTAACAGACACATTGCAGTGCAAATCACATGAAAACACTCCACACAAATCTTTCCCACCCAAATGATTGCAGTCCTCAGGACTAGAACAGGTAACAAAAATAAATATCATGAAGTCCTGCTTAAAAGTTTGTGATACCTTGTATAAGGATTGTGCATAATTTCTAAAATCATATCCAGGGACAACCAGTTAGTAAAGTAAAATGTAAGTTGAGCCCATTACATACTTAGAAATAGGGAGGAAAAATCAGGCATGAGCATAGAAAAGGAACCAAACTGAAAGCAGTTTGGACAAAAAACCCTTTTCAATAGAAGGTACGATATTTAAATAAAGTATTTTATACTTCCGTATTACTTTTATGGATCATTTTCTTCTAAAAATATTGAAAATATTAGTTTCAAAGAAAGCAGAAAAATAGATTTGGGCATCCTCTGCATTAGACATTCCACTGGTAAAGCACTGTATTTAATCCTGTTGTAATTACTATTCCCCCCTACTGTGAGACAAAACCTGCCCTAAACGCCATCTATTTTTTTTAAAAAAATCACATCAACACATTCATATTATGCACATGAACATGATGGCACAGCAAACTGGCCAGGTGGGAGAATGACCACAATTTTCTATGGGTCCTTGAACTGGACTGCTCTCACACTAGCACGCCTTTGCAGACAGGAACCCTGTGTAAGGCCAATGCTGGTAAACATTTCCATGCTCTGATGCGCTCTGCTTAGGCTCTTGATTTATTTTACGCATGTTTCATGATTGCCATCCTTTCTTTGGGTCTGCGGAAATGTGGATTATGCAGGGAGGAAGGGGCTGGCACAGGTATGAACAGGGGCCTGTTCCTAGTATTTCATTTTGCCACTTTGAGAAATAGCATTGCTATTTGTTTATCCAGCATTGTCTTGGCAGCAGGTTCTTTGTGTGTACTTCATACCTGGGGTAACCATGGTCAGACTTTGTGGTGGGTATCACTGTATTATATACTAGTATAGTACTGTTACAAATGCTGTGGCTACTATTGGGTTAATGTGGATGGGATTCCCTACAGTGGTAACATTAATATGTCCTGCCCCTTTTCATGTTGGAGGGGTGCAAGATTTTGCATAGCATAACTGCATTATCTAAAGTTGAAAGGCATGCTGAATTTGGGGGGAAAAAACTGCTGCAATAGTATGTCTTATACGATTGCACTTACGTAATTACGGTTGTACCTAAGTGTAACATTTTTAGTTTAAAACCTGACATGTATATCTGGAAATGTCAGGTTTTTAAGCTAAAACATTCCCTATATATCTTGTTTAACATGATTATAACATACTGCATATGCAGCAATAGTTTAGCACAAGACTTACCGTGTGGGCCTATTATTCCACATGGACCTTGTGGTCCTGGTAAGCCAATAATGCAATCACCCATTTTTCCCGGGACACCCTTTTCTCCTGGAAGTCCAGGGAATCCAGTTTCTCCTAAAAGACAGGAGTAATTGCAGTAAACCACGTTGTTGTTTTCACAATAGAATTTCACACCATTTCACACAAAGACATCAAATCACATATCCCATTTGTGGATTCAAGTTGCATACTTTGATCACAAAGATTTGAATAAAGAATTTTTTAAAAGGTAAATACACTCCATCAGCAGCCATTTTATCCTAAATGCAATGAGATTACACAACCTTTCACAGCATTTTGGTTACTCCTAACATGATTTTGAATGTTTTTAACAACTTGGGTATGTTCTTATTCCATGGAATCCAAGTTGGGAAACTTTACCTCTTGGCCCATCAACCCCATCACGGCCTTGTCGACCTGGAAGTCCCGGAAGTCCTAGTGATCCATTTTCACCCTTCTCACCTGAAGAACCCTCTTCTCCTTGTGAACCTGTTCTACCTTGTTGTCCAGGAATAACTGGGCCTGGTTCACCCTAAAATGCAGAGGAGGAAATATTAATGTCTGAAATACTGAGGAAAGAGGAAATACTGTTCCCTTTTCTTTATATCATTTCTATATATCATTATATCAGTTCCTACCCTGGTATTAAAATACTGTGGGGCAGGAGTTAAGGATCTGATTTATGTGCATTCCTGTATTAGAGAAGTAATCCTTACAGTAGTTATTATTCTGGGGGCTTCATGGATAGATTTACACACACACACACAGAGGGAGGGAGGGAGGCGGACACATTCTTGCTACATGTCTTGCTGAGATAGTTGCAAAATATAGTTATTTTTCTTAATGTAGTACCTTTGTTATATTTTATTAGTAGTGTCTTTTACAGCATGAATTTTTATATTGCTTATATTTGGGTCCCTGGCAGGTATGTTATACTGCTTAAAATACTTATTAAAATACCCTCTTGTTTCTCTTTTTTATACTCATTCACCAAAACAGCTTGATGATCCTGGATGCACTTCTGAGTAAATTTATCTAGACCCAAAATTCATTGAAGTCAGTAGAACTGATTGCTAAGTCAGCATACATAAGATCGGGTGGTTTGCTTCTGTTTTGCTATGATACACAAATTTGATTGTTTGATTACCCCAAGAAAACAGCTCCTTCTTGATATTGTCTCAAGACACTCCTGCCATACACAACCTTTTAAACGTGCAACATAAAATGTAGAGGAATGGGTATGGGTGCCTGATCATTACTGTGCACATCCAATATTTCTTAACATTCTGTAAATATTATTATTATTATTATTATTATTATTATTATTATTATTATTATTAT